AGCAACAAAGAAATAATCTTATAAATGTGTTAGAAACAATCGCATGAAAGAAAAAAAACATTTGAATACATATCTTAGGGTTCTTTTCCCTAACATCAACTTATTTGACCTTTTCTTCTTATCTCAGACATATACTAGTAATTGCAAATAAGGGAAACCATGGGACCTATGTTTCTTTGGGCTTGGCTTACTTTACTTAATATAATTTTTTCCAAGTCTTTCCATTTCCTAACAAATGGGGCAATGTCTTTCTTTCTGATGGAGGCATAGAATTCCATTGTGTATATATACCACATTTTCATGATCCATTCATCTACTGAGGGGCATCTGGGTTGGTTCCATATCTTAGCTATGGTAAATAAGGCTGCAGTAAACATAGTTATGCTGGTAGCTTTAGTGTGGTCTTGTTTGTGAACATTTGGGTAAATGCCCAAAAGTGGGATTGCTGGGTCATAGGGGAGCTCTATTTGAGGAACCTCCATACTACTTTCCAAAGCTGGGAAGCTTTCTCTTAATACAGTGAGAGTATCAGTGGAAAGTGTGTGAGGAAGGAACAAATCTGACATATTTATAAATAACATGACTATCTTAAAGGGCAGCAATCAGATCTTTGGATAAATTGTTATAAAAGATAATTAAGCAGTGTTACTGCACTTAAGGTCCATACACAGAATTAATTGCCTTTTCACATACATACAAGTTCTTACTCTGTGGTTCCTTCAAGGAATCTTAACAAATGGCAGCCTGGTTTGTGAGGGCCACAAAGACAGAAGTTACCATCATAATATCAAATCATATTCTACTTTGTTAGAAGCCATTACTATGTCCAGACCACACTTAGGGGGATTATACAGGGCATGAGGAGGTGGGTACTTGGGCCACCTTAGCAACCTGCCTATCTCAGTGGATTTTTCCTCCTCCACAAGCAGAGTTATTGAACAGATTGTAGTCAAATTAAGTACTTATTGCATTGGAATTTTTAAGTCATTGTGAGAAAGCCTTTCTTCACACTGAGGATGTAATTTACTCATTTGCTTCTAGTATGTTTTCATTTTTACTTTTCAAAAATACTTTGACTAGCATATATTTATTCTATAAAATGGGCTTGTAACATTTTCAAATATATAGTGTATATACTTGGGTTATATTCACCCCATCTACCCTTTTCCTTATTCCCCATCTCCCTTTTTGTTGGGGAGAGGGAGTAGTACTAGGTTTGAATTTAGGACCTAACACTAGGCAGGCACTCTATGATTTAAACCACACCTAGCCTTTTTTTTTTGTTTAGTTATTCCAACTATGTATGTGTGTGCATACATGTATGTACATATACATGAATGTATGCATACGTGTATTGTGTGTTGGCTGGCTATATACATGTCTTTAGAGGATTAAGTTTTGACCTTCATATAACCATTTGGTTTAGTTCTTTTTCAAACAGGGGTTTCTTGCTTTGCTCAAGGGGCCAGTCTTAGACGGAGATCATCCAACTTTCTGTGTAGCTGGGATTGCAGATATGCATCACCACCCCAGCTTGTTGAGATGGTGTCTTACTAAGTTTTTTCCTGAGCTTGCCTGGAACTAGGATCCAGATGGCAAGGAAGATGACAATTGATAATAGCATTGGTAGTCATGTTGATGTCTGAATTTCCTTAGTTTGTGAAGCTAGCTTGATGCATGTATCCATAATCTTCTTGCCTTGTCACCTTAGGGTTGGATATTACCTAACACTACACTCTGAATATTTATCACAAATATAGAGGATTGTCCTATCCAAGAGCAAGTAATATTTTCCCATTTGCTCAAAGTCTACTTTTGTGCTTTTCAGGAGTCTTTAAATATTTTCCTTATAGGGGTTTCATATTTATTGTTATGATAACATATCTACATGGTACTTGAGCTAGTAAATTTACTCCATTCTTTTTCTTTTTCCCTTCCCTTCCCTTCCTTCCTTTCTTTCTTTGTTGGTTGTGGGGCTTAAACTCTGGGCCTGGGCGCTGTCCCTCAGCTTTTCACCTCAAGGCTAGCACTCTACCAATTGAGCCACAGCGCCACTTCCGGCTTTTTTGTGCTTATGTGGTGTTGAGGAATTGAACTCAGGGCCTCATGCAGGCAAGGCAAGCACTCTAACATTGAGCCACCTTCCCAGCCCAAATTTACTCCATTCTTGATGTCTCTCTCTCTCTCTCTTCTTAGGTTCCATGACAGTATGTTCTCCTCAGTTTCCTTTGGTCTTTGGACTTAACCTTCTCAGCCTCTTTTTCTGTTAACTTTAGCATTATCCTAAGTGTTGCAGCAATTCCAGGGCTTAGCACAAGGCTTCTAAGTGACTATCCCCACACTGCCTCATCTATCCCATTGACTTTAAATAATATATTTAAAATACAAAAATGTAAGACATATGTAAATATTTAAAAATAAAGTATATAAAATATACTTTTTGAATCTATTATCCCTTAGCCTCACCATCAGTTCTGAGCTTCTGATTCATATGTATTATATAGGTCTTAAAGACATCTTGAACTTCTCTTTCCTACCTCAACCCCCTCAGTTATTAAATCTGGAATCCTGGGAATAGCTTTATCTCTTTTTCTATCATGACCAAGTCCAACTGGTTCTACATCCAAAGTATCTTTCAAATCCCAGAAGGGATATACCTTAGTGGTAGCTGGCTTAACTAGCATTTACAAGTTCTACCATGCAAAGGCTTGACTCTTTTGTACTATATCAAGCAAAGAACAAGATAAAATCCATCAGTTCTCATCTTTACTGCTGTATGCCTAACCCAAGCAATGTTCTAGTTTAGTATAATAGGGAGCTATGTTTTTTCCATTTCCTTTCTAATTTATTCAGCATACATCAGCCACAGTCATTTCTTAGAAAGCTTCTCTCTCCCCATGATCCTTCTATCACCTTGGCTCACCAAGTTCTATACTGTAGTTGCCTCTTTTTTGCTTTAGTCTTTGAATATTCTATTCCTACTGCCTGGAATGCATTATACCCAGTTCTTGAAAAATGCTGGCTCCTTCTCATCTTTTAGTCTTTCCATCTCTTGTGATCTTTAGGATGTAATTACTATAATACTTTCCTTTTGAATACTTATCTTGAGGTTCATTCTCCTAATATCAACTTATCTGACCTTTTCTGCTTGACTCAGACATATACTAGTTATTGCAAATAAGGGAAACCAAGGGACCTATGTTTCTTTGGGCCTGGCTTACTTCACGTAATATAATTTTTTCCAAGTCTTTCCATTTCCTAACAAATAGGGCAATGTCATTCTTTCTGATGGAGGCATAGAATTCCATTGTGTATATATACCACATTTTCTTTTTCTTTTTGGTCGGTTGTAGAGCCTGGGCGCTGTCCCTCAGCTCTTCAGCTCAAGGCTAGCACTCTACCACTTGAGCCACAGTGCCACTTCTGGCTTTTCTGCTTATGTGGTGCTGCAGAATTGAACCCAGGGACTTAAGCATGCAAGGCAAGCACTCTACCACTGAGCCACTTTCTCAGCCCCTTCTTTCCTTTTTCCTGTGTTATGTATTTCTCCCTGTTCTGAACCATCCCCATCTGCACACAAACCTTTTCTAGTATTTCCTGGCCTCATATCCTTTTCTAGCTACTGCTTCAATTTCCCTCTGCTTTCATGAAAAGCAAACATCTTGAGCTGTTACAGGTATCTGATTCCTCACTACCATTTCCCAAGAGCCGGCTCAACTCAGGCTCCCTCCACTTTCTCTTTTGAATCTATGCTGCCAAATGTTGTGGTTAAGTTTCTGCCTTTCTTCCTTGGGTGCACAGCAATATGTGATATAGTGATCTGATGGGTTTTTTTTCCCCCTGAATTGCTATTGTCTCTGGGCTTCTGTGACACATGCTTTTCTGGTTTTCTTTCTGCCTTACTGGTGTTTCTTCTCTCTTCACTGGCTCCTTTGTACTAGACCACAAATCTAAATACTGCCATGGACTCTCTCTTCTCCATCTGGTACTGAGGGTTTTATATATAATCTGAGTATTAATGAATCCAATATCTCTAATCTCAGTTTGGCTTTTCAGGTATGCAAGTCAATAGCTTACTTTATATTTCTACTTAAATGTTTAGTAGGTATTGCCCAGTTGCCCAAGCCTAAATATACTTGTCATCCTCCATTTCTCTTTCCTATCTCATCACAGCCCACCTATCCATGAGCAAGTCTTGTCAATTCTGTAGAGTTCTGAGCCATCCTGAATATGTCCACTATTCTTAGAGTATTCCTAAATGTCTCCTTACTTTCTGTGCATACCACAGCAACAGCATTTTCTTGAAAACATCTGTAAGACTGTGACTCTCCATGCTTAAAACCCAATACCCAAATAGATGGGTTGGTCCAATTATAAAAATTTACACGATCTAGCTTATTTATCAATCTGTTCTCATCTCACACCATCCCCTGTACTCAGCATTCTTTATCCATAGTACCTTTGGTAATTAAAGTATCACACTCATTATGGCAACAGCATCTTTTTGTAAACTGTTCCCTCTGCCCAACTTTCTCTCTTCTCTCTTATGTTTGCTGACTCTTCACTGAATCTTATCTCTTTAGACTCTCTTGACCTGAAGATTTTACTATACTGTTTTTTGGTGTATATCTTACAAATTTATTTATTGGTGAAATCTACTATAATAGAATGTAGGAAAAGTTCAATAGATATTTTTAAGTAAATAAACAGATGGAATTTAAAACATTTTCCTGAACTGGGTACTTGTATCTATAATCTTAGTTAGTCAGGAGGCTGAGATCTGAGGACTGAGGTTCAAAGCCAGCCTGGGCAGACAAATCCAAGATATTTTATCTCCAATTAATCAGTAAAAAGCCATACTTGGGAGGAGGCATTTCAGATGGTAGAGAATTAGTCATAAGCGAAAAAGGCTGAGTGAGAGCTCAATACCCTAAGTTCAAGCTCCAGTACTGGCACAAAAAACTCCAAAACAACAAACAAAAAACACCCTTACTTTCCTAATTTCCACATGTGGACTATCATTGTTATTACCCACTATAAGTTAACTACAGTATACGTATTTTATATTTGTTAATTAATTTCCACATACGAGGTACCATTCTAAATGTCTTGTGTATATCACTTCAATCTTTCTGCTACCTTTTGAGGCGGTTACTACTATTATCCTCATTTCACACACAAGGAAACTGAAGCATGTAAAAATTTTGTGATTTTGGATTTTGTGATCATATACCTAGAAAGTGGTAAAGCCAGATTTCAAAACAGGAAGATTATTTCAGAACCTCCAGGCTTTTTTTTTTTTTTTTTTTGGTCCGTTGTGGGGCTTGAACTCTGGGCCTGGGCACAGTCCCTGTGCTCTTCAGCTCAAGGCGAGCGCTCTACCACTTGAGCCACAGTGCCACTTCCGGTTTTCTGGGTGTTTACTGGAGGTAAGAGTTTCACGGACTTTCCTGCCCGGGCTGGCTTTGAACAGAGATCCTCAGATCTCAGCCTCCTAAGTAGCTAGGATTACAGGCGTGAGCCACTAGTGCCCGGCTCCCATTAAATATTATTATAATTTTACATTTTATAGAGTTGCAGCAACATCAAAGATCAAAAAAACTTCTGGCCTAAGATTGTGTAGCAGATAAGTAGCATTGCAGAGATTCCAACACAGATGTGAATCCACAGTCATGTTCTATTGTACTATGATGCCCACATCTTCCCTTAAATGACTTGAAGTTTTTTCCTTAGTCTGTAAAATACAAACTCAGGGCTCTTGGTGATTCTGGAAAGTTTTGCAATTTTTGCAATTATTATTTGCAATTTCCTTGACTTTTGTTCACATAATAGATATTTACAGATGGCCTACTATGTGCTGATGCCCTGCCATCTTCCAGGAGGACGCCATGACTCAACATGGATTTCTGTGGGCTGTTGTTAGGCTTCTCTACTGAGTTTATCCTCACCTGTGAAGAAACTTCTCATAGGTCTGACGAAAGGCAAATCCTGCTCGACGCACTCTCACATTTTCCAGTAGTCCAAGATATTCTACTTGATGACGGCAGCGTTCATCATCAAATATCTGTGGGGATTTCTTGTCATTGGGTTTGATGCAACGTACATAGTATGGTTCCTAAAGACATAAATAAGCAAGAGTAAGTTTGACTGCAGAACATTCCTAGACTAGGGATGCTAACACGTAATTAGTGTTAATTGTGTCCAATTAAGCTTAGTGCCTCTGATTTCTCAGGAATATACTTGTGAATAAAGTAGCTGTTCTTCCTTTTTCCTGTAATTCAAAGTTAGAAGTTCTCAAACATTCACTTAAATTTTAACTTTCCATATTTTAGGAATTATCAGAAATGGTAGAAAAGGGATAAAACTAAGGGGTAAACAATGGAAGGAATAACTCAATAGAAAAAGGCAGCAATTCTGGTTAAGACTGAATGTGATGCAGAATGCTAAACAGTAAGGTCAGCACTGGTATAATAAGTGCTCTTAAGTGACTGCCATTACTATTATTATTGTTGAATAAAGACACCTGTAGGCATTAGTAATTGCATGAAAGAGCCAGCTAGAAATCCTTTCCTCCATGCCAATTAAGTTTTGTACCAGGAGTTACATCATCAGTACTGTTAATTTTAAAACTTTGCTTGGCATAGACTTGGCCACATTGAGGATAATGAATAAATTATCACTCAAATCCATGAGGTCAAATATATCCTAATTATAAGTGCACAGAGTTTCTTTTTCTTCTCTGAATCCATTTTTTTTTTTACCAGATTCACAGATGCACTTTAATTAAGATACAGATTCCTCTCTAGTTAAATTAGGCAGTTTTGAGCTCTGTGAAGGACTTGAGGTGGCAAGAAGTAGCAAATAATTTAAGAAGTAGGAGAGATTTAAAAAATGTGATTTGATTTGCATTTTGAACAGAACAACAGCTTTTAATATCTAAAAAGGAAGCTGCAATTGTGTATCGTGTTCTCTGTGTGATAAAAAGTAATGTCATGTCTTCCTTTTTGTAAGCCCTGCTATATTAGCTTCCTAGTGCTACAACAGATTTCGACAAAGTTTGTGGCTTAAAACAACACAACTTCATTATCTTCTACCTCTGGAGGTCAAAAGTATGAAATGGGATAACATCAAGGCATCAGTACAGTTGTTAATTCCAGGAGGATCTAGAGAGACAACCCGTTCTCTTATCTTTTCCAGTGAAAAGATTAATCTTGACTGTCAAATTGATTGTACTGAGAAGTGTCCAGGAGATGGAATAAAAGGGAATAAGAAGAGAACCCTTAAGAGCAAGCATTCTCTCTCATGTATTTTGTCAAAGTGATAAAAGTCTGACTATAGGGAAAATTGGTGCTAGGATCACTGCTATGATTAAATCTGATCATGTGGTTCATAAACTTATGGAACAGTTATGCAAGAAAAATCTGGAAACATTTGGAGAAATGGCTGGAGAAACTGAGAATGCAACAAGCGGAGGTTCATGGTAATTTTCTTGAGAGCTCAGCAGACTAGAATATAGGTAGTAAAGACTGTGCTCACAAGGTTTCAGATGGAAATAGGAATGCTGGAAATTGAACTAGAGGCTGTCTTACATGATGGCAAAGAACTTGGCTACATTTTGTACATGCCCAGACACTTTAAAGAGAAATTGAGTTTAAAGTTGATGGATTAATTAATCTGGAAGAGGAAATTTCAAGATGGTCCAGTATTCAGGCTGTGGAATGTTTATTGCTTTAAGTTTATAGTAAAAGTTAGGCACAAGGGGCTACACAGAAAAACCTGAAAAACTTTCAATTTGGTCTGAAAAGCCTGTATAAAATTAGGGATTAAGAAACACATGTTTCTGTAGTGATCAACCATTAAAAAGAAGTCAAGCTGGATGTAGGTGGCTCACACCTATAACCCTAGATACAGAGGAGGCTGAGACGTGAGGATTGCAGTTCAAAGCTAAGCAGGGAAGGTGAGAGTTTTTATCTCCAATTAACGGCCAAAAAGCTGAAGCAGAGCTGTGACTCAAGTGTTAGAGCACTGGACATGAGTACAGAAAGCTCAAGGACAGTGCCCAAGCCCTGAGTTAAAGCCTTAGGAATGGCATGTACTCTCATGCTCACACACATAAGAGTCAAGCTGGCTTGATTGCAGGCTCACACCTGTAATCCTACTTAGGAGACTGAGATCTACAGGATCATGGTTTGAATTCAGACAAGTCCCTGAGGCTGAATCTTAATATTAACATATAAGATGATGCTAAGCGAAATGAACCCCAAGATATGGACACAAGAGGTTTTTTCTTTGTTTCTGTTGTTTTAAATGTACTATGTGACTTTTTTTTGTTTCCTTTGTATGTTCTTTCCCCTATGGTATAACCCTTGTTGTCACTGTATTTGATTCAGGTACCCTGCATCTTGTATATACATTTTTCTAATTTGGGGAGGGGAAGAGAAATAAAATGCTGTAATAAGGATACAGGTTGATCCACTGTAACAATGAGACATACAAGACACTATGTTGAAAACGAACTTTACAACTTTGGGGGGGGGAGGAGTTGAGGAGTGGAAAGGGAAGGGATAGTAGGAGAAAAACAAAGGAGGGGGTAACAATGCTCAATAGGAAATATTACCTTACTGATGAAACTGTAACCCCTCTGCACAGTATCTTTAAAATATAATAATAAAAAAACCCAGCAAAATAACCTGAAAACATGTCTCAAACCATAAGCAAGAAAGCAGAGCAAGCAAGGCTCCTGAGTTTCAAGCCCTTGAACTAGCAAAAGCCGTGTGTGTTTGTATGTGTGTGTGTGTGTGTGTGTAGAGCTAAAGGTGTGTGTGCGTGTGTGTGTGTGTGTGTGTGTGTGTGTGTGTACAGCTAAAGATGCCTTAAGGGTATCCCAGGATTGCCTAGGCTCAAGGGTATGAAAGAGTAAACTCACTACAAAGACTTTGAGAGTCTGAAGTCTGCCCAGCTCACACAGGGCCTCATAGGAAAGTAGGTAGGAAAGTGTTTCCACTTGTTAAGTCATCCATGTACTTAAGTTGGATGTGGACCTTGGTGTTGTAAATGTGATGCCAATTTTTCAGATATGCAGAATACAAGAGTTCCAGGGTCATGGGAGCTTCAATCCAGGTTTGAAAGGAAAGTCTGTGAGTTTAGGCAGTATGTGGCAGGGTCAAGATCCCTACAGGCATCCCCTGAGAGGGCAATGTAGGAAGCTGTGAGGGTGAAGTCGAAGGTGCTGTGGAGACGCCAGGAAGCTGGAGTGCCAGAAATGTGCAATGTTTGTAGGCAATGAACAGAACCTGCCCAAGAGAGAAGATGTGGGCTATAGTTGGCCAAATAATGTGGATAAAACTGCCAAAGCCTGGTGGAACTCCCATCAGATCACCTTGTGACTGAGATGTAAGACATGATGCTCTGATGGGTTTCTGTCTTGTTTTGTTCTAATCATGCCTTTCTATATCCATGCCTCCATTTGGAATAGGAATACAATGTGTTATTATACATTGAAAAAATATAATTTTTACCTTTGTGGGGATTCACAGTTAAGAGATTGCCTTGAGTCATTGTATAACTTTGAACTTTTTTTTTTTTTTTTTTGGTAGTACCAGGGCTTGAACATAGGGCCTTGTAATCTCAGTTTTGTTGCTCACAGCTGGCATTCTACCACTGGGCCCCTCCTCTAGCCCTGCTTTTTGCTTGTTAATGAGAGATGGAATCTCATGGATTTTTCTACTCAAGCTAGCTTTGAACCAGAATCCTTCAGATTTAAAGTATGAACTAGGATTTAAAGCATGAGCCACTAGTGTCCTCTTAGACTGGAACTTCTGAAAACATTGGAGTTATTAAAGGGAGCTCTGGGAGATAGACTGACCAAATGCATTTTGCATTATGAGATAGATAGGATCCTTTTAGGATCTAGAGGTAAAAGGCTATAGTTTAAGATGTTAAACAATTGCCGGATAAATAAGTGGGCTAAAGACTTAAAGAGAAACTTCTCTGAAGAGGAAATAAGACTAGCTAATAGAAACATGAAATGCTCAACCTCTCTAGGCATAAAAGAAATGCAAATCAAAACAACACTGAGATTCCACCTCACCCTAGTTAGAATGGTTATACTCAAGAACTCTATTAACAACAGATGCTGGAGGGGATGTGGCTAGAAGGGAACCCTACTGCATTGTTGGTGGGAGTGTAAACTTGTTCAACCACTTTGGAAAACAGTATGGAGGTTCCTCAAAAGACTCCACATAGAGCTCCCCTATGACGCAGCAAATCCCACTTTTGGGCATGTACCCAAACAATCTCAAATGAGGCCATATTAAAGCTACCAGCACAGCTATGTTTATCACAGCCTTATTCATCATAGCTAAGATACGGAACCAACCCAGAGGCCCCTCACTAGATGTATGGATCAAGAAAATGTGATACACACACACACACACACACACATACATACAATGGAATTCTATGCCTCCATCAGAAAGAATGACATCACCCCATTCCATTGTTAGGAAATGGAAAGACTTGGAAAAAAGTATATTAAGTGAAGTAAGCCAGGCCCAAAGAAACATAGGTCCCATGGTTATTTGCAATAACTAGTATATGTCTGGGACAAGTAGAAAAGGTCAAAACCTCTGTACATATTACCAGATAAGATGAAGTTAAGCGAAATGAACCCCAAGATAGGGACACAAGTGTTTTTTTCTTTCTGGCTATTGTTTCTAACATATTTATAAGGTACCAAGTGATTTTTTTTGTTGCTTTGTATGTTCCTCCCCCACAGTATAACCCCTGTTTCACTGTATTTGATGTTGGTATAATTTGCGGAGGGAAAGGGAAAAAAAAACAAAATGTTTAAATAGGGATACAGGTTGACCCATTGTAATAATGATATGTTGAAAAACGAACTTTACAATTTAGGCAGGGGTGTGTGGGGGGGGGTGGGAAGGAGTGTAGTTGTGGAGGGCAGGGATGGTAGGGGAAAAACAAAGGAGGAGGCACCAATGCTTGATAAGAAATGTACTCATTACCTTGCTCGTGTAACTGCAACCCCTCTGTACAGTAGTTTCACAATAAAAAAACAATAAAAATAAAAAAAATTAAAAAAGATGTTATCTGGTGTCAAGAAGACAAAGAGTAGACTTGGAATGATTCTCAGTTTTCAATTTAAATAGAGAAATGCCTAGAGTAGTAAAGCACACTTGTGTGTGTCTGTGAAGGTGTTTCCAGAGAGCATTAATTAAGGGGAAAGACATTCTCTAGATCTGGTGACACCATTCCTTAGGCTGGGGACCAGGTGGAATAAAAAGAAAACAGAGAAAGCTCCCATTTGTATGCACATTTACTCACTGTGCTTCCTGGCCACTATGGTAGACAATAAAGTCTACTACAAAGGACTAAAAGTTCAGAAACCGTAAGGTAAGACTTTCCTGCCTCTAAGTTTTTCTGTCAGGTTCTGGCAAAATTCTGACTAACACATCCATCTTTGACAAAGTCCATAATCCTTTGTTCCTCTTCCATCTTCAAAAATCAGCAATGGCAAGTAAGTCTCATGATGTCATCACTCTAGTTCTGATTTTTCTAAGAGACTTGTCCCTAAGAGGTAAAAGGAAGGCTTCTTTACTACTTCTGTGTGAAGAAGCCCAGGACTGAAGACTACTAGAATAAAGATGCCTAATTAGCCAATCATACTACTTAGTGAGATTGACTTAGCTGACTAGAACTACTTTGTGAACCCAGCAGAAGAACTGCCCAATCAACCTACTAACTCATGGGGAATTAAAAAATGTGTTGTCTGAAGCACTATATTTCAGAGTAATTTGTTATGTATTGATAGATAACTGATAACTCCCCTTATTCTGAAATATCAATCCTTTGCCTAGATTTTATATTTTGGTATATTAAAGGAAAAAATAAATATTATTATAATGCACACACATAAAGTGGTACAAGCAGAGCACAGTAAAATCAAAATGCTTCTGGATCTATTTGCATGATATGGTGTTGATGTAACTGCAGAATCACTGCACACAATCAAGATACCTGGGTTTGTTTTTTTTTTACTTGTCCCTGCTATTCATTAGCTATGACAAAGGCTTGTTAGACCTATTAGCTAACTAATGGAATGATAATTAGGGCTTCCACATTGAGTAATAACAGACTAAATAATTTAAACCAAGACCCATGCTGGGTATAGCTAGAATAGATAGGCAAACTACATAAAACATTTATCTTAGGGGAGTTGACAAGACAATAGAGCATTTCTAGGCCAGAGTCCAAGAGGTAAAAGGAAGCTATGGAAAAGAGCCCAGGTGTGAAACTACCTTTTTTCTTTGGGAATGTGCCAGCTCCAGAAGAGGTGAGTGGTTATCTAAGTGATGGTTTAGGCATTTTCTTGAGGATGATGGGGCAGAGATTAGGGACTGGGCTTGAAAAGAAGGCCATAGACAAAACCCTTTCACATGGGGCCCTGTCATTGGGGCTAAGACTAAATCAGAGGTAGGCAGTACCTTATAGGGCCTATAGATGTGAGATTTCCTGTGGTTTTTAAATGGGAGGAAACTGCAACTGCCATCTTGGACAGGAGGATAGATGCCAACCACTAGAACAGTAAAACAGAAAGAGGGAAGGAGCCTAGGTCCCAAGTAACCAACAGTCATGGAACACATTTTTTTTTGTACTCACCAGAAGGAGAAATAAAGGTCTTTTCTAATTTGGGGATTTCTTTTACTAGAAGCTGAATGCAATTCCTGATACAGAAATTTATATTCAATGAGATCTGAAGGAATATTTAACAGCTTTAGAAAATAAGACAATGATTCTTTGCTAGATACTTGGAAGATGATATGCAGAGAGAAGTGGAGATAGAAGAGTAAGGAGTCTTAATGGCATTCTAAAGTTCAGTGCCAGTGTCCTTACCCCTGTCTTTATGGAAATTTAATTATACAAGCCAGAAAACTGTGTTTATTTGCAGTCATTTGAGGCCAAAGAAGCCTGATGTAAAGAAATAGAAAGCTACTGAGCAGATGTGCTCTGTGACATTTGCCTAATTTAGTAATAGTGCAATAGCTTAGACACAACATAGACTTAAGTTTAAATTCTTAGAGAGGAAACAGATTTTTTTAAATAGACAAAATAATAAAGAAAAAGATACATAGGACAATCACCAGAAGATAAAGATAAAAATAATGAGTCGCAGAAAACTGCCAAACTTATCAAACTTAGTTAGGAGTAGAAATCTGGTCTTGAAGGAAAACCAAACAAAAACAAAATCAGACTCAAGTTATCAAATCACATTAGAATCAGAAAGGCAGAGATAACTGACAGTAATACATCTAAATAGCCTACTGTTAGCTACTCAGGAGGCTGAGATCTGAGGATCACGGTTCAAAGCCAGCCCGGGCAGGAAAGTTGGTGAGACTCTCATCTCTGATAAAGCACTAGAAAACTGGAAGTGGCACTGTGGCTCAAGCAGTAGAGCGCTCGCCTTGAGCTGAAGAGCTGAGGGATAGTGCCCAAGCCCTGAGTTCAAGCCCCACGACTGACAAAATAAATAAATAAATGAAAGTCTACTGTTTAGGACAATACTTACTTAAAAACTTTGCAATACAATTATTTTTGGTCATTCAATATTCAAATGCAATGAACGAATGGTGCATTACTATGGTGTAATTATTATTTTTTCTGTGTCTTGTCTTTAGCACAAAGCTGGAATTTATTTTGCCAGGAGTGGTATATTTTATCTTTATTTTAAACCACACTAAAGGTGGAGGTATGGCCCAAGTGGTAGACTATTGACCTAGCATGAGCCCTGAGTTCTATCCCCAGTAAGACCAAAAAAAAAAGAGAAAAAAGGTGTGTGGGGGGAGCAGTAAACCACACTTAGATTTTCCCTTTGTCTACAACACAAATAAAAGCTCAGATTTAAGAAAGGTATTCTTCAGGGATAAAAACAATTATTTCAGCTGGGGCCATGATAGATCATAACACCTAACTAACAAACATGAGGCCCTGGGTCAAAATCCTTATACTGCCGAAAGTAAAAATAAAACAAATGAACAAAAACAATTTATTTCATCCAGGCAAGTAAAAAATTAGGAATAAAAGTTCTGTAATGTTCACTATAAATGTATGTTGTTTAATTTGGTTAAAGAGAAATATTTATAAAGCAAATTTTCACATATTCTCTACAATATATATCAAAAGGAAGTCTAGGAGTTGAAATGGATACTTAGAAATGAATTACCTTTGATGCAAGGTTGTCTACTAAAGCAATCATAGAATTCTTAAACAAGGTGGCAGCAGTGAGTGGTCGCTTGGTCACCTCTGTAATGCTCAGTTTGCCTTCAGGCCACATATTCTTCAGCACAGGATTTGAACTGTAAAGCACAGAAAGAGCAATTTAATCATTCAGATTAGGAGAATAAAACAGCTAAGCAATCCTTCAAGTCTGAACTTGAACTGCAGGCTGAACTCACAAGGCCTAATTGGAAAATAATCTTATCCAGAGAATTATGTAAATACAATGAACAATACTAAACCATAAAAATTTCAAAACAACTATAGCACATTTCAAAAATGTTTAAATTTCTTTAAAGCGATTTCTAGTATTATCTAGAACCCTCAAATAGTTGAGATGGCTTTTACAATATATTCATAAAACAAACTGACTTTTGTAATGGCTAAAAAATGAAAACAAACTACTAGCAGGATAACAATTCTCACAGATTCAGGGGAGAACTCAAATACTGTAATTTCTCAGAAAGGAAAGGTCAAAGGTCAGCAAAATAAAACACTAGGAAGAGGGCACTCAAAAGGGGTAGAGTGAGGTCAAGGGGTCAAGGGTGGAAAATGAAGAGGAAAAGAGGAGAATGCAGTCAAGAATCCAATATATATCCTACAAAATTAAGAAAAGTGCTGGGCACTGGTGGCTCATGCCTGTAATCCTAGCTATTCAGGAAGCTGAAATCTGAGGATCCTGCTTCAAAGCCAGCCCAGGCAGTAGAGTCCAAGAGACTCTTATCTCCAATTAACATCCTGAAAACCGGAAGTGGTGCTGTGGCTCAAGAGGTAGAGTGCTACCCTTGAGCTGAAGAGCTGAAGGACAGGGCCCAGGCCCAGAGTTCAAGCCCATGACTGACCGCCCCCACCCCCCCAAAAAAAAAAAGTAAGAAAAAGAAGGGAAGGAGTAGGGAGAAACAGTTGAGAATGTTGAAAGGGGCGTATGGATCAAGATCTACTGTATTTAAAAACTGCTCTTTTAAATGAAAACTCCTTCTTACAATTACTTAAAGATAATAAAATAATAAAAGAAAGGACTAGCATAAGATTAGAAGCCACTTAAAGGCCTTAATAATTAGAAGAAAAGGAAAATTTGCCACACATTTAATGGGGTATTATAGCCATTGCAATATTTCTTATAAATTTTATACCACAACATGGAGAAAGTGCTTATAATGAATAAAATGCTTGGCCCTAAAACAACAACAAAACAATTCTCAATGTCATGGCAGAAAATATGAAAGTAAAAACATCTTCTAGTTGAAAGAAATATTAGTAGGGAATAGGTAACTATAAAAAGCAGTTCTTCCTAAAACATATAGATAAGGACATAAAATAACCATTTTGATACTGTTTTCTGGCAAGTCCCTTTACTGCAGCTAAATTAGTGAACATTTTTACAGGTAGTACTAAGCGGACTTTAGCATTTTATTGATACTACTGGGACTGTTGCAACCCAATCTAAAAATTGTACTTCAGGAAAATTTCCATATTAATAATCATAGATTCATCATTTGGCTCTGTGGAGATACTATTTTTTGTTGTTGTTGGTCATGGGACTTGAACTCTGGGCTTGGGCACTATTCTTGCACTCTTCAGCTCAAGGTGAATGCTCTACCACTTGAGCCACAGGCACCACTTCCAGTTTTCTAGTGGTTTATTGGAGATAAGAGTCTCACGGACTTTCCTGCCCGGGCTGGCTTTGAACCACGATCCTCAGATCTCAGCCTCCTGAGCAGCCAGGATTACAGGCATGAGCCACTGGTACCTGGCTGTGGAGATACTTTTAAAAAGACATGATAATAATCTTAATTGTGATTTTCTTCCTATTTCATCTTGGGTACTTTTCATTTTAAAGTGTTATTCATTCAAAGTGTTATTTCTCTCTGGGAAACTTGTTTTACTTTTTTAGATTTTTAAAATTGTTATTATAAAGGTGATATACACAGGGGTTACGGTTATATAAGTCAGGTAGAGTCCCTTTCTTTTTGGACAATGTCACTCCTTCCCTTGCTCTCTCCCAGTTTTTTTCCTCCCATTCCCATCCAATAAATTGCATAGTTAAATTTCAACATAGTGTCCAGTGAGTTTCACTGATGTATTTTGGAAACTTTTTCTCACAGGAGAATTTGTTCTTCTTGATTTGGGGGTTGAAAAAGAAAAAAGTTAATGCATGTATCACTTGCTTCACTGGAACTGCCAGCATTTTAAAATAAATTTTTATTTTACTGTAAAGATGCTGTACATGGGGTTACAGTTACACGAGTAAGGTAATGAGTACATTTTCTTGTCGAACATTGCTACCCCTGTACTGCCAGCATTTTGCCCATTTTTTCTTTTGTGTAAAATTGAGCTGGTTCCCCAGAGCACTTAGTGAATTTCTGTACACACTGTTCAAAATAATAGCAGCAAAATGAATGGTTGGTTATGAAGTAAAGACGTGATGATGTGATGAACAACTGCGTCCATGAATGCAGATGTATCCTGACCCTTTATTACTGCCATGCATGTAGCCAACTAGCATCAAAAGTACCTATAGCTGGGCATTGGTGGTTCATGTCTGTAATCCTAGATACTCAGGAAGTATAGATCTGAGGATCACAGTTCAAAACCAGCCCCAGCAGGAAAGTTTGTGAGACTCTTATCTCTAATTAAGCACCAAAAAGCTGGAAGAGGAGTTGTGGCTCAAGTGGTAGAGTGACAGCCTTGAGCAAAAAAGCTCAGGGACAGTGCCCAGGCCCTGAGTTTAAACCCCAGGACTGACATTTCCACCCCTACCCCAAAAAAGTACCTATAACATAGTTTACTGATCTGTGGCTCATGTTTGATCACTTTATAGTCCTATTTTATAGCTCTCCAGTCATACATTTATATCAACAAAAATAAGCTCATAAAAGTATGTTGCTTTCCCTTAACTTTTCCATTATTTAGCAGAGAGATAATTTAAGGTAATAATTTTTCACTTACAGTGCACATGGTTCCTGAATATTTTTCAAATAGAAGGAAGAAAACTGTCCTTTGAAAATTCTGATGCATGCCAAGAGACTTAAGATCACTGGCTCTGAGACTATGAAGTTTCTAACCCATATTGTTTTCCTACCTTATTCACTGTTAGACATATTACAGTGTAATGGAAGAAAGGAGGAAAGTTGGAAATAAAGGAAATACGACTATATATTATAGCAGAATTGATGCATATGGAATTTAAACAGATATACAGAGTCATTTTAAGAAAGGACTTTCAGGCCAGGAAGTCATGAATATTCTAACTTGTAATATTACCAAAAATGTTTTCAGACATTTTAAATATCATAGACAGTAAGTTTCAATGAATAGACTTTCAATCTTTTTACCCTTTTGGCAAGACTATCCCCTACTGTAAAGTGCACTCAGTTTAGTCAGATTTCTTTTCTCCTCCCCCACCATTCATTATCCTTAAGCCCAAAGGAATTACTATTCAACAAAGCAGTTTATAAATACAATAGATTTTGATCAGTGTTACCCCTTTCAACATTGTCATCCATTTCTCCCTTATCCTTACTCTTACCCTTACTCTTACCCTTACTCTATCCTTTCCCTTCGTCTTAATTTTGTAGGAATATACATTGAATTCTTTACTGCATTCTCCCTCTCTTCTCCTCTTCATTTGTCTACCTCTTTCCCTTAGACCTCACCCCACACCTTTCTTTCCTGTTTATTTATTTGAATTTTGCCTTTTTAAGGAATTACACTATTTGAGTTCTCCCTTGAACCTCCCATATTTCAGTTAACACATTTGTATACACTTGCATCACACCCAACATACTTACTTATAAGTTTAGGTAAATCTAGCTTTCAATATAAAGGGAAAACATGCATCCTTTGTTTCTCTGGGCTTGACTTTCTTCACTTAACAATTTTTTCAGGTCTTACCATATCTTTACAAATGGTAAAATATCATTCTTTTTAAGGGATGAGTAAATTCCATTGCATAGATATACCACATTTCTGGTCCATTTGTCCACTTGACCATGGTCAATAGTGCAGCAATGAATATGATTGTGCAGGTGACTTTACCGATTGCTAGTTTATAATCTTTTGGGTAAACGCCCAAAAGTGGATTGCTGGATCATTGGATAGTTCTATGTTTATTTTTTTCAGTTTAAAAACTGTTTTATAAAGGTAGTACACAGAGGGGTTACAGTTTCCTAAGTCAGGTTTATATTTAATTTTTAGAAGAAACTCCACATGGCTTTCCAGAGTGGTTGAACAAGTTTACATTCCCACTAACTGTGTATTAGGGTTCCCTTTAGGCTGTATCCTTGCGAGCATCTGTTATGATCTGTTTTCTAGGAAACAGCCATTTAACTGGATGTGAGGTGAAACCGCCATGTTGTTTTGATTTGCATTTCCCTTAGAGCCAGAGATGTTGAGTATTTTTTTATGTGTCTATTAGCCTGATACCATTAATTGAAGGATTTTTTCCTATGTTCCTTTATTCTGAATATGCTTACTAAGCAATAGCTAATCCAAATTCTTTTTTTTTTGCCAGTCCTGGGGCTTGAACTCTGGGCCTGGGCACTGTGCCTGCGCTACTTTTCCTCAAGGCTAGCACTCTACCACTCTACCACAGCTGCCAAAGCTAGCTTTTTCTGTGATTAATTGGAAATAAGAGTCTCAGGACTTTCCTGCCCAGGCTTGGTTCAAACTGTGATCCTCAGATCTCAGCCTCTTGAGTAGCTAGGATTACAACAGGCGTGAGCCACTAGTACCTGGCAGTCTGGATTCTATGGGGAATATTTTTTCAATTAATTGTCAATTCATAAACAAGTGTTTTCACTGCTATTTGACTTATTAAAGCCTTCCAATAGCAAAAATCAACCTCTCACATCAACATAAGTATTCCATGTGATTTAGATTTTTGACTGGAAATGAATCTACATGATACTCTGTTTCCACATTCATTTTGTGAGCATAATTATGTTAATATACCATGGAGAGATATAGCTCTCCTCAGTTAGCTGAACCTCAGGGCAATGGTAAATTCATGAAAGTAACAGATATCATTCTGTATAGCGTCTTAGACATAAATAAGCCTGGCAATACTGTGATACCTGACCAAGGAGGTTCTTGTACACAGAAAAATTCCAGCTTTAGGGGCTGGGAAGGTGGCTCAGTGGTAGAGTGCTTGCCTTGCATGCCTGAGGCCCTGGGTTCGATTCCCCAGCATCACATAAGCAAAAAGAAAAAAGCCGGAAGTGGAGCTATGGCTCAAGTGGTAGAGCACTAGCCTTCAGCTGAAGAGCTGAGGAACAGTGCCTAGGCCCAGAGTTCAGGCCCCAAGACTGGACACCCTCCCCCCCCCCAAAAAAAGAAAAATTCCAGCTTTAGTTATTTATTCGTTAAAATAGGTGTATCTTCCCTGAAAGATAAGCATTGAAATTCCTTTCCTAAAGCTTATTTTCCCTGTGCCCAGCTATTAAGTGGACCCCTTGCCCACTTCCATGTATTTTTAACTTTCTCATGGTGACAGCTCCACAATCATTCATGGTAGGCTCAATATTCACATAGATGAACTAATATTTGGAAAGAATTGCTTAAGGACAATGTCTATTTTCATTCCTGTGTTCTCTCAAGCCCATGTCAATCAGACATTTGTCCATGGAAACCAGTGTTGTCAGGAACTGCATGGGCAGGTATGATGGTCAGTCTTGGTCCTCACCTCATTCCTACTTTTGACAGGACTTGATATAGTTTATAGTTTTTTTTCCTTGGCTGGACCTCTGTGACAGCAGATTCCTGGTTTAAATTTCCATTCTTTGCCAGCTTTCCATATTTAGTTGGTTTGTGAGAAAATTCTATCTGCTCAGTTAGAACCATACTGGCTGACATAAGATGCCAATCTCTACCAGTGTGGTCCCATACTTGGGAAGAGATATTACCGTGGGAATATGGTATGTCACACATTTGGCTGGGCCAAAGGTTACCTAAAACTTCTTATATTACTCCTAGTCTGGCCTTGAGATTGCTTGCTGAGTACACTAATAAGGGGTGGCAGATGGCACTGCAGGGAATAGAGTGTTGGCAGAAAGCCAAAGGAAATAAAAAATAATCATATTAGCAGTAGATCCCTATCCAAAGTTTATAATTAATAATCCTATAATCATACAATTTTTTACTCATGAAACATAATGAAGTAGAACTAAAGTCTTCTAGAAACTCTTGTCACATAAAAATATCATGTGCATATATATTAAGCAATGAATGTCAAAGAGCTTATTATAAATTAGTAAAATATCAATCATACCTGTTATACATGAGGCGTTTGAAATCTTGAAATAAAGTATCTTTGTTTTTATCTATAAAACCAATGGCAGAATAGCTAGTAAAGAGAAAACACAAAAAGCATGCATTATTCCTTGTGTAAGAGCCAAGTTTGAGCTTTTCTATGAACTATGCACATTTCCACTGCTAATTAGTCACTCAATTATCTAAAGAGCTGCTACTGCTCACTTGGATCTAGGTTAAAGGACACTAAGTTTGCGTCCTAAAAAAAAGGACTTTGTTTTTCCCCTGGAGAAGGAGAGCCATCATCATTCTAGTTAAATCATCATTTTCTACTGCAAGCTTACCTCAAGAAGATGACTTCAAAATGATAGCTGTATTTATCATCCAGCATTCCTAAGATAAAAGCAAAACAGCAACATACGGGAACTAATTGTTTCATCCATGGGGAGTTCAAGTGACTTGCCTAAGTATCACTCAGTGTTCAGGATAGGGTAAAAGAATCCAAGAAGAACTGCAAAGGATGGTAAGAATTGGATAAGCAGACGAGAAAAAGGCCAGCAGATCACATAGGAAAACAGGCAGAATGAAGAAATGGAAGCAGGCACATGCAGGGTGTTGTGGAAAGAAATGAGCCCAGTTATTCACAGTTTGAATGAAGAGAATAAGATCTTGAGACAGATCTCTGCCAGCTAAGATGGCAGTTGGTGAGAAAAGCTGGCATGGCAGTTGTATTGCTGCAAATACTAGCAAAGCCTCTAGAGGGAGCTACTCCATGTTGGGGGCAGAAGGATAATTGGGGCTCAGGGTAATTAAGGAAGCAGAGGCTACGAGGTTGAGCAAACTAATTCTACATGCAGCCTTTCTTTAGAGTTCCACTTTCTTGTAAGTTCATATTTTCTTCCTTGGCAATCACAATAATATAAACAATTCCTAGGTCTCTAATCCTGACCCCTTGTGTTACATATTCAATTCTGCAAGAAAAGTCAGTCTGTGCTGACCATTGGCACTTGAAAGACCTCAACTGCCTTCTTAATACCTTCCTGTCATTTTTGACTGAACTCTTGAAATCACCTTACTTTTAATCTATTGTGAAGCATACACAACTTGAATTCAAAGTCGTTAGTATGATTTTCAGGACTCACTGTGACTTGATCTTAATCTACTTTTCTAGGCATTTCTAGTCTATGCTGCAAAAAACGATTCCCTCCAATCAAAGGAACCTAGTTGCTATTTCCTGAATAATTTTTTAACATCTTTCCACCTCTTATAAAAATAATTCCTTATATCAGCCTTCCTAGGTTGGCCACAGACAGCTAAACTATAGCTTTATCATTCTGAATTATGATAACACTCACATGGTAATTATTTCAGACCATGTTTCACTGTATGCATATATGGAAGTTTATGTTGTCTAAGCACATATACAATCAAATATACATATGCATCGTGAACTGGAGGCTTTTTGTGGGCCCTGTCAACACAAAGCATTACATGCACAGAAGTAAAAATATCACTGAATATCAGCTAGAGAGTCTGGAAACCATCATTGTCTCAGTTCTTCCATAAGTTTGTATGTGACTTTAGTTAAGAATTTACATTCTACATAAGTTTCTTCCTCTGTTAAACAAATAGACTAGACTTGGGGGTCTGAAAGGCTATGCATTTATGCCACTCTGAGTGATATGATTGTACTCTCTAAGTCTTGGATTTTCAGTGGAAGGTACCTGTATGATACCAGATTTTCATAATTCTGGAATTTAAGAACAGAACCAGAAATATGCAGAAAATGTTGGCACTCAGGGCTGATGGGTAGTTTAGCAAGTAGGGTGATATTTGACCACATTATTATATGATTATAATGTGTTAATTTAAATTAGGAATACCTATTAAAATGTCTTCAAATATATTTACAGAATTTATAGAGATGCTATTTGCTTTTTTTCTTGTTTTGATTTCTTCCTGTAATGGTTTACATGGAAAGAATTCTTTTTGGTCATGGGGCTTGAACTCTGAGCCTGGGTGCTGTCCCTCAGCTCTTCAGCTCAAGGCTAGTGCTCTACCACTTGAACCATAGTGCCACTTCCGGAAAGAATTCTTAATGTAAAAAAGAGAAAAAAGAAAAAAGTTCCTTAAACAATAAAATGAAGAACATGTTCATTGACAGTGAAAAAATACTGAATATGAAAAATGACCTTCATCCCTATCAAATTCCCTATATTCTGGGAACTTTGCCTTCTGTGGTAAAAGATGTGATTGCACTAAGGATAATTAGGAAGGTGGGTTTATCCTGTAGAATTTAGGGGAGCCCCAACCATCATAAATGTCATTTTTAGATAGAGACAGGGGAGATTTGACACAGGTATATGATAGAGAAGTAGGCAATGTACCACAGAGGCAGAGATGAGAATAATGTGAACATAAGTGAAAGAATGCCCAGAGCCACTAAAAGTTACAAAAAGGCAGATTCTCCCTTAGAGAGGGTGTTGCCCTTTGACACCATCATTTTGAACATTTGAACATTTTGAAGGATATCTTTCTGGTTTTTTGTTTTTGGTCGTGGGGCTTGAAATCTGGGCCTCAGTGCTGTCCTTCAGCTCTTCATCTCAAGGCTAGTGTTCTACCACTTGAGCCACAGGGCCACTTCTGGTTTTTTGCTGGTTAATTGGAGATAAGAGTCTCACCAAGTTTTCTGCTCAGGCTGGCTTTGAACGGTGATCCTCAGATCTCAGCCTCCTTAGTAGCTAGGATTACAGGCATGAGCCACCAGCACCCGGCAACTTTTTGTTTTTTTAAGCACCAATTTCTGATAAACTTTGATAGCAGCATTTGGAACCTAACAGACCAGTTACATTTTTCTAGTTACATTTTCTATCAATTTTATTTTTATTGTAGTATCTTTGAGACAATGCAGCTTATAATCATTTTACTTTTTAAATAAATTACTTTTACAAAATTAATTTGAAAAAAGAAGATAGTAAAACTGCTTTTGTTCTTGTAGTTATGTTCTATCCTTGTGACTCTGCATATACAGGTGTGATCTGCTCTACACTGCTGGGCCTTTTTCTTTCTGTTGTTGTGATACCCTCTCGTGTCACTCTCCTCTTCCTAGTTCGTTCACTCAGACAACTCTCTTTGACTTTTAGGACTCAATTTGGACTTCTCCTGGTTCCTCACTCTGTGATTCTTCAGTTTAGCCCTTCCTTTATTTCATTATAATGAGTCGGGTGTGTCTGTATCCTCCACAAAACTACCAGCTGTTTCTGGGAAGGGCCTATCTTATCCCTCTTTCTGCCCTACATCATAACACATCTCCAAGATTTATGGATCTATCAACTGATCTTTACTGATTACCAATTATGTGAGCACACAGTATGTGCTGAATAAATGTTTGGAAATCAAGGAATGAATAAAGGTATGCCATTTTCTTCAAACAAAGAGATTAAAACACACTAAAGTTAGACTGTAATGACAAGAAAAGTAAATGGTAAAGAAAACAATGGATGGTTTCCCCATGAGGCTGCATGCATACCGTCATGCTGGGGAACTGAAGTAAGATACTCACACCACATCCCCTGCATAATGCCGAATTCGAAAATCACGATCAAACTCCAGGCTTTTGTCTGAGGCACAGAGCTAAGAGAAGGAAATTATGTTGAAAACAGACATTTTCACTTTCCTGAAAGCTTATTCTAATTTAATATGATTAGGTCACAAAAGTCATATTAACATGAGTGAAATCACATCATTTGGGGCTTAAACAGGACTTACATAGAAAGACTGAACTTTCACCAGCAATCCACATAGCCCAAACTCCATAAACCAGCTACTCTAGCAGAAGACGTGGTCATATGACCAGATTCTGGACAAAGAAAGTGGAGTGTGGCCATTTCAGGTCCATGCTATAATGGTGGAAGATCCCCCATTCTTACTAGTCAGATGCAGAAGACAGTCCCTAGAGATGGAACAGCCAGACAATGGAAGAAGTCTAGGTCCCTGGGACAGAAGCAGTCTTCAGTCATCTTCTGACGTTAAATTTTGACTACTAATTTCATGCAACCAACCTCCTCTACTCAGCACTCCTTTCTTCTCCATGTTCTGCTTGAGGAGGTCTGTACTCAGGACTTACTGTTTGTTAAGCATATACATCATACAACACTCACAACTTACTGTTTTGCAATCTCTCTCTCTCTATTTTGTTGGTCGTGGGGCCTTAACTCTGGGCCTGGGTGCTGTCCCTCAACTCTTCAGCTCAAGGCTAGCACTCTACCACTTGAGCCACAGCACCACTTCTGGCTTTTTCTGCTTATGTGGTGCTGAGGAATCAAACCCAGAGCCTCATGCATGTGAGGCAAACATTCTATCACTGAGCCGCCTTCCTAGCTCCTATAATCTCTGTTTTACACCCATAGAGACTGAGACATAGAAAGGCTATACAATTAGGACAGACCACACAGCTAGTCTGTAGAAGTCTTGGGAAGGACCCACAAAAGTAAACATAACATCTGTGCTTTCCCATGTAAATAGTAGATTGGTTCATCTGCCTGCTGAATTCCAGTTCAAGTCTGCCTCTTTATTTAAAGGGAAATATTTTATGGAAAGACAGTTTTTATATGGATCTGGAGGTCTCCATGACATTCTGCAACCTTCCTCATTACAGTAACACCTACACTTCTTCCTCTGAAGGATCACTGGGTATCCTACAGGCTAACAGAAACACCTAAGAATCCATACAACACTAAGCATAATTACAAACAAAAACTACTAGATTCTAATGTTATACAGTAATCCCAATTAGAATGAACCTTTTTTTATTTTTCCTTTGGTCAGTTGTGGGGCTTGAACTCTGGGCCTGGTGCTGTCCCTCAGCTCTTCAGCTCAAGGCGAGTGCTCTACCACTTGAGCTTCAGCGCCACTAGTAATCCCAATTAGAATGCTGAGTTTTACACTTGTAAACTGATTGATAAAAGAATAATGAGTCCATTAAGTGAATAACTATAGGAAGAACTTAGACTTCTGAAGTTCAAATCTTGGCTACATTGCTATCTCACTCAGTCTCCGCTAATAATTAATTATCTCACAGGCTTGCTCATGAGTTAAACTATAAGACCAAACCATGTTAAATACATAATTGTTCTTCTTTTTCTCTATTACTAACTCCCTTCAAAAGATCCTTTCATTTATAAAAGTCCTAAAGAGAGGGACTGAAATGGTCTGTACATAAGGGGAATAGTCTCAGCTTTGGATATAATACAAGGTCTTGACTCTGAACACATAACATTTTTCATTTTTCCTTTTTTGCAATAAATTATATTAATTAGCATTTTATTTCAAAAAACTTCATATTCTATTGCATGTCTTTCTGTGGTAACTTTAAAATATAATATAGAGCTTAGCCCCAAATGAAATGACTATTAGAAGCCAGAAAACTGCTTTGCGGGCTGGGAAGGTGGCTCAGTGGTAGAGTGCTTGATTTGCATGCATGAGGCCCTGGGTTCGATTCCTCAGCACCACATAAACAAAAAGAAAAAAGCCGGAAGTGGCTCTGTGGCTCAAGTGGTAGAGCACTAGCCTTGAGCTGAAGAGCTGAGGGAGAGTGCCCAGGTCCAGAGTTTAGGCCCCACGACTGGACCCCCCAAAAAACAAAAAAACTCTGCTTTTCTTTCTCTCTCCTTCCTTCCTTCCTTCTTTCCTTCCTTCCTTCCTTTCCTTTCCTTTCCTTTCTCTCTTTCCCTTCCTTCCTTTCTCTCTTTCCCTTCCTTCCTTTCTCTCTCCTTCCTTATTTCCTTCCTTCCTTTTTTTTTCTTTTTAAATGCTGGTCCTAAGACCTAGGCACTGTTCCTGAGTTTCTTTTGCTCAAGGCTAGTGCTCTATCACTTGAGCTAGAGCTCCACTTCTAGCTTTTTTTTTGGGGGGGGGTGTATTGAAGGTAAGAGTCTCATGGACTTTTCTGGCTGGGCTGGCTTTGAACTGAGAACCTTAGATCACAGCCTCTTGAGTAGCTGGGATTACAGGCATGAGACACTGATGCCTGCCTTCATAAAACTTTTTAAATATGTTATTAAATCTTGTTAGCAAAAAATCAGTAGCAAATGATATAACAAAAATATTTACAGTGATTCAAATATCCGGACAGCCTTGTTATTATATTTCTTTCCTTCCTTAAGCAAAAAGTCCCCCAAAGGAACACTCTTTAAAATTCTGCACTTAGGGGCTGGGAAGTTGGCTTAGTGGTAGAGCGCTTGCCTTGCATGCCTGAGGCCCTGGGTTCAATTCCTCAGCACCACATAAGCAAAAAGAAAAAAGCCGGAAGTGGCGTTGTGGCTCAAGTGGTAGGGCACTAGCCTTGAGCTGAAGAGCTGAGGTACAATGCTCAGGCCCAGAGTTCTGGCCCCACAACTGGACAAAAAAAAAAAATTCTGCACTTCATGCTGGGTACTGGCAAGTGCACACCTGTAATCCTACCTACATACTGAGACTGAGATTAGAGGAATTTGGTTTGATGCCAGCTTGGGCAGAAATATCCTTGAGACTCTATTTCCAATCAACCAGTAAAATGCTGGGCTGGAGGCATGGCTCAAGTGGTAGAGTACCAGCTGAGCAAGCAAGCCAAATAAGTATGAGTTCCTAGCAAGAAAAAATAATCTCCATTTTGATATTTGTCCTTGGGATGCTAAGAGAAAGATATGGTCTGAGAGCCGGGAAATCAGGAAGGCGGATGTGTGTGTGGGGGGGGGAGAGACATCACTGATAAATTATGATTTAGCATGTTCTATGAAATCAGCTGAGATCTGAGGTTTCTGGTTTGAAGCCAGCTAGGAAAGAAAAATCTGTGAGACTTGTATCTCCAATTAGCCAGGAAAAAAGCTGAAAATGGAAATATGGCCCAAGAGGTATTATAGTGCTAGCCTTGAGTAAAAAAGCAAAGCAAGCCGGGTGCCAGTAGTTCACACCTGTAATGCTAGCTACTCAGGAGGCTGAGATCTGAGGATCATGGTTCAAAGCCAGCCCTGGCAGAAAAGTCCCAGTGAGACTCTTATCTCCAATAAATTACTCAAAAAAGCCAGAAGTAGAGCTGTGGTAGAGTGCTAGCTTTGAGCACAAAGAGGCTTAGGGACAGTGCCCCGAGTTCAAGCCCCATGATCTGGGAGGCAGGGGGGCAGGAGGCTGGGGGCAAGAGCATGGAGCCCTGAGTTCAAGCCTTAGTATAACACAAAAGTAAAATAAAACAACAACAACAAAAAATCCAAAACAGAAAACTAACAAAGAAAGAATGGACTAAAAAATTGGTTGACAAATTTATGTATATAAATATCAAGAGAAAGGTACCCCAAATTCTATACACTGCAAGAATGTGCAATCATATATCCTATTAGCACATATCAGAATCTGTGGGAACAACTGGAAGTTTAACTCAGAACCCTCACATCAAAATTCAGTTTGTAGTATCTGAAGACCAACTTGGAGCCATAAGTAACTATCTTGATTTAAGAATCAGCTAATAATCACTTTGTTGATGTTCTGTGCTTTAGCTAGCTAATTGTGGAAATTTTCTGTTCTGATTACATAATTTCCAAGGAGATAACTCAGAAAATAGATTTATTCATGCTACAAAATGGCAGTGTGTCAAGAGATTTATACAAAACCACAGAATTTTGTATAAATCAGAATTGAAAACAGAACAGAATTGCTTCCTCCTTTCTGCATGTGAAGGAACAGAGGTTTTTTCCCCTCTGCTGGACAAGCTGGTATTTGTGGGGAAAATTGGGGCAATGATGCCTGTTCCCTATACAGCTTCCCTTACAAATACTAAAGGGCAAATGCACTACATTCAAGATCCAGAACAAAGGTTTGATCACCCTAATTGCTACCACTTATTACAGAGATTTATTTATAACATTTTTTAGAAATTAAAACTCATTGAAAATAGGAGTTAAAAAGATATCTAGTTCATTGAAGAAATGAGTTTCCCTATAATAACCAAAATGATGAGACTTTGTCTGATTTCAAGAAAGTCTGAAGCACCATGATAGAATACACATACACATTCTGCAAATAAGGGTTACAGTAACAACAACAAGGACAAAAGCTATTTCTGTGCCAGAATTATCAGATACAGGCGTAAATTCTAGCACATGAACAAGGGATCTGCACCTATTGGTTACAAATGACATCATGCTTTTTAAAGAACCACGTTCATGTTTCCTATTTCTAGCAAATTATATAGTCTGGAGCGCCCTCTTCTGGATGCTATAATTTTAATAAACTTCATTCTGTAAACCAGAAAGGCAAAATTATCCCACAGTAAGCGATTATTTAATGGAACTTTACAGCTTTTTGACTTGAGTGGACATTCCTTTAACCCAATAGAAAGTAACTTTACCTCATCAAACAATGAGTCAAATCTTATCAAAATGAAACAAAGATATTATCAATTACCTTTCTGCTGGAAAAATGACCATGTTTGCCTAATTTACTGTTAAGGGCTTCTAGAAACATTCCATCAGTGACTTTGCCGACATTCATACAAGCATCATCCAGGATGGCAATGATGCCTTTGTGTTGCTGCTCCACGAGGTCCACAATGATCTGGTTGTTGAAGTAATCAATCTGTAGAACACAGAAAAGAGGCAATTCTCAAGGGAACAGAGATCAGAGTGGGTAAATACCAGCATGTCACCATTTGCTTCAGGAGCTTAGGAAAAATATATGATGTCAAATATATGAGCAGAACTAATGAGGTATGACACTAAATAAGAACACAATCTAACAGAGTTTTTCAATTTCTTCACTAACTTTACGTCATGAAACACTTTGTCAGAGATCACTGTAGCTTCAGAAAAAGATTACAAGGTAGACCACATTTCTCCCATTCTGAATTCTTCCTTTAATACTGGCTCCTATCTGACACCCAGCTCCCTTCTTTCCTACTCCCAGTCCCCCAATCTGTTTGCTGTTAACCACAGATCCAGCTTCCATGAAGGAATGAATAACTTTATTATTTAATGTATCACTTGATAATGAAGTCAAGGCATGACACAAATTTGCAGTTTTGATTATGTGACCCTCAAGGACTAAACTCCAAAAGACAATTCCTACAGTTTCCCAAAAGTTAAAAGCAACAACAAAACCAACATATATGAAGCCAGGTACTGGAAGTTCACACCTGTAGCTACTTGTGAGGTGAAGGATGGGAGGACTGTAGATGGAGGTCAGCTCAGAGGAAAAAAGTTCAAGAGACCTCGTGTCAAACAGTAGTTGAATACTATGCATCAATCATCCCAGCTATGGTAAGAAGCATAAATAAGAGAATTGTGATCCAGGTTGACATGGAAAAAATGAGGCCCTATTTCAAAATATCCCAAGTGAAAAGGGCTAAAGCATGTTTTAAGTGGTAGGATACCTGCCTAGCAAACATGAAGACTTAAATTCAAAACTCATCACCGATACAAATACACAAAGCATATAGAGTCTAACAGATTTTTTTTTTTGTTGTTGGTTATGGGGCCTGGGCTCTTCAGCTCTTCAGCTCAAGGCTAGTACTCTACCACTTGGCCCACAATGCTACTTCCAGCTTTCTTTTGCTTATGTGGCACTGAGGAATTGAACCCAGGGCCTCATGCATGCAAGGCAAGCACTCTACCACTGAGCCACCTTCCCAGCCCCTAATAGAGTTTTTTTTAATTTTAGGTAGAATGCATTTTAAAATTAATATTGAAATCTAGGTATAACCTTTCTGCCAGGCACCAGTGGCTCATGTCTGTAATCCTAGCTATGCAGGAGGCTGAGATCTGAGGATCATGGTTCTAAGCCAGCTGGGGCAGGAAAGTCCATGAGATTCTTATCTCTAATAAACCACCAGAAAGCTAGGCACTTGGTGGTTCATGACTGTAATCCTAGCTATTCAGGAGGCTGAGATCTCAGGATCGCAGTTCAAAGCCAGCCAGACGAGAAAGTTGGTGAGACTCTTATCTCCAATAAACCACTAGAAAACCAGAAGTGACACTGTAGCTCAAGCAGCAGAATGCTCGCCTTGAGCTGAAGAGCGCAGGGATAGCACCCAAGCCCAGAGTTCAAGCCCCACGACCAAACAAAAAACAAAAACAAAAAAACCACCAGAAAACTGGAAGTAGCGCTGTGGCTCAAGTGGTAGAGCCCTAGCCTAGAGCTGAAGAGCTAAGGGACAGCGCTCAAGCCCAGAGTTCAGGCTCCATGACCAAAAAAAAAAAAAAAAAGAATAATCTTTTTGCTTATTTCCACAAATTGAATGAAGTTGTAAATAACTTCTGACTTTTTAACAACTATAATATATACAAGCTCTCAACTTGTAATAAGCAGCATATTATCACCATACATAGAGGGCACACCCAGGCTTTACTCAGGCAAGGTATGTCACAGTGGGGGTAGCTAATTACCAAATAAATATCTTAATCTTGTGTGTTGATGTACCCTACCTTATAAGCCTTAGCTGAGCATTAAACATAATGTCTACAGACTTAATAGAACACTAAAGTGCTTCATATATTCCTGCTCAATGCTTTTAAATCCAGGGACTATGCCAGTTATTTGTGGCTTTTAGCTCCATTCCTAGTTTTACACATATTGCATCGAGTGAAAGCCTATAAATTGGGGAGAGAAGAACTTTTGCCTTATTTTTTAAAACATGTTTTGGTTTGTCCAAACCAGTAGGTTTTTTTTTTTTTTTTTTTTGGTCATGGGGCTTGAACTCTGGGCTTGGGCGCTGTCCCTCAGCTCTTCAGCTCAAGGTGAGTGCTCTACCACTTGAGCCAAGCACCACTTCCGGTTTTCTGGTTGTTTCTTGGAGATAAGAGTTTCATGGACTTTCCTGCCCGGGCTGGCTTTGAACCGCAATCCTCAGATCTCAGCCTCCTGAGTAGCTAGGATAACAGGCGTCAGCCACTGGTGCCTGGCTCCAGTAGTTTTTTTTTGTTTTGTTTTGTTTTTTGTGTGTGTGGTGGGGGGTTGTGGGGCTTGAATCTGGGCCTGGGTGCTGTCCCTGAACTCTTCAGCTCAAGGCTAGTGCTTTACCACTTTGAGCCACAGCACTACTCACAGTTTTCTGGTGGTTAATTGGAATTAAAAGTCTCATGGACTTTCCTGTGTGGGTGGCTTTTACTGAGATCCTCAGATTTCAGTCTCCTGAGTAGCTAGTGTTACAGGCATGAGCCACCAGCACCCAGTCAAACCAGTGGGCGTTTTTGTGGGCATGGTTTGGCTCACTAGGGACATTGACAATGTTGGGAGACATTTCTGATTGTCACAAGATGAATGCCACAAGTACCCAGTGGGTAAAGGTCAGGGATACTACCGAATGCTCTCCAATGTGTAGGACAGCTTCTACGAAAATAATGATCTGTTCCACAACTTCAGTGGTAATGAGGCAGAGAAACCTGCTCTGAACATGTGTCTTTATTGTGGGCATTTATCATGCTTATAGTTAGGGGGAAAAGTTATTTTTATCTTTGGAAAAATATTCTAAAAAGATTAAATAAAGCATTGCTAACATGAATTGCAGACATTCCAAACTTTGGGAATATAGAATGAAAGAATTATCTAGAATTATCTATCCTAGGAACAAAAAATTACCTTAAAATTCCAATTGTATTACTGTGAGCTATTGATCTTTTCTGAAAATTCTAGTAATTGTTAGTTTAGTGCTACTCAAGCACTGCTAAAAATGGTGGTTTTCAAGACAGGTTCTTCCAGCAACCTGCATTCCCAAGAGGTTCTTAAGAGATACAGGGTGCCATGAGATGTGTGGGTGATGAGGTGGATTAGAGTCATGGGGCTCTAGTCTCCCATTCCCACTTTAAGTATAATGGCTATGTACAATGATTTTATTGGGTATGACTATGGAATTTGGATAACAAGTTTTATGATTAAATTTGTTACAAAAACCTAAGCTCTAAATATACTGTGTACTTATACTGCGTATAAGGTTCATATAAACTTTATTAATTTGCATTATGCTTTAAGGTACTTATGAGAGTTCATTTGAATGTCAAGTTCGCAACAGCTAAAATAATTTGAATACTATAGCATCAAGAGCTTTCAGAAGTGAATAAATCGGAAGAACAACCAGACATTATAAATCTCATGGTAGAATTGCACATGCTTCATAAAGTAGACTGGGGAAAAAACTCTTCTGAACTGTTAAGACTCAAACACTAACAACCAATGTATAGGACCTACAAGGAACAGAGAAACATATTAAATGACACCTCAGTAATAGGATTAACAAACTACAAAGTGGGAAATGCCACATAAAAATGTTCATCCTTCTACAAAAGAGAAAACCGACACATACACAAAAACTTTACAAAACCACCACAATTTAGACAACCATAGAAACCTTATTTAGGTCCAACTTGAAGCTGTCATCAACAACTATGTCAACTGAGAAAGTATAAAATTAGAACACTGACTGGCTACTTGAGATTAAATGAATTATTATTCATTTTTGAGATGTTATAAAAGTACTGTGGTTATAATTTTTAATAAGATTTCTCTTCCAGAGAAATACACAGATGAAAAAATGTGATGTCTGAGATTTATTTCACGTTAACCTGGGGTATGTAGGCATGGCGCAGATGGTACAATAAAGGTAATCCACAGAGCATTACTAAGGCAGGGTGATGGGTCATGGTATTTATTATATTCTCCTTTTGTGCATGTTTCAAAATTTTCCATAATAAGATTTTTTAGGGAATCAATATGACCAGAAGTTTTGGGGTTTAAGAGAAATACCTAGGACAAAGACTCTAGTTTTGGTGGGATGGCTGGCATACAGTTAAGTGTTATTTGGGGTTAGCCTTCTGTTCCCTCTTAGAAACATATTTCTTAACTCATTTAGCTCAGAACTTCTAGATTTTTAGGACTGTTCATCATTTCTCAGATGTAGAATAACCTACTATAACTGCTATTCTTCCCTTTATAAGCTGTGTCAATAGAAGTTGGCATTCTGATTGTTACAGGCTATTTTTTTTTAACCAGTATTTTGGACTCATATCTGAATAAGCTGTGTGATAAAACTTGGTTTAAAACATTCTAAGATTCATTCTTAGGAAGTTTCATATAAACTTAACTGAATTAAATCACAGTGTAAATGTGCTTTTGAGAGTGTACTATTTAAGTTAAACTATACATAGCTTTTTAATAAAATAGCTAACACTTGGTTTCTTTGTAAATGAAGTTTATGTTAACATATTTCAGCAACAATTTTATGGCATTGTAATGTTTAATACATGATGGAAGTTAAAGATGCAATTTTAGGCAGGAGAGCAACTGAGTATACTATTTTCTCATTTTCTCTCCACTTGGAGAGAAAAAAAATTTTTTTAAAAAGGAAAGTAGGAAGGAATAGAAAAGTAATATGACATTCAAATAGTTTTTTTTTTTACTGCTACTATGTTGGATGTCAAACAACAAATAATGGCTTTATTTTTATTGTATGGCAAAGAGGGTAAACATAGTTTTATAAACAGAATTATACGGAAACCACAAGTTTTTGTATCTGTCTAGTCCATTCTCAAAATCATTTTAAAATACAAATTCATAGGCAAGATTAATCATTTCTTTTCATGAGCAGGAGGTCTCAGGGAAGGAGATAAAGAAGCTAAACAAGTAATCTCTGAGGTTTGTACTTTGGACCAGTCTTGCCCTCCTGCTCAGTCTTGCCCTCTGGCTGTATCTCACCTGATTAGTTTGCCTCTGACACTTATTTAAGTTCAGAAAGAGCCATAACAAAGGAAAGAAAATGGAGATGAAAGTCAATACAGGTGTTCTAATGTACAGGTTTTATAGAATATGAACATTAACCAGGTGCTGGTGGCTCACACCTGTAATCCTAGCTACTCTATTGAAGAGGTTGAGATCTGAGGATAGCTGTTTGAAGCCAGCTTAGGCAGAAAAGTCCATGAGACTCTTTTTTTTTCTTTCTGGTTGTGGGGCTTGAACTCTGGGCTTTGGCACTGTCCCTCAGCTCTTCAGCTCAAGGCGAGTACTCTACCACTTGAGCCATAGGGCCACTTCCAGTTTTCAGGTGGTTTATTGGAGATAAGAATCTCATGGACTTTCCTGCCCGGGCTGGCTTTGAACTGCAATCTTCAGATCCCAGCCTCCTAAGTAGCTAGGATTACAGGCGTGAGTCACCAGGACCCAGCTTAAGTCCATGAGCCTCTTATCTCCAATTGCCACTCAAAAACTGGGATTGGAGCTGTGGCTCAAGTGGTAGATCACTAGTCTCTGAGCACAAAGAGGCTCAGGACAGCACCCAGGTCCTGAGTTTAAGCCCCACAACTGACCAAAAAAAAAAAAAAGAAGAAGAAAGAAAAAAAGAAAGAAAGAAAGAAGGAAAGAAGGAAAAAGAATATGAACATCATCAACTGAAGACAGTAAAATGCTATTTAGTTTACAGAGTGGAGAAGCAAAAGAAGGAAGGGAGAAGGAGAGAGAGTAGATTTGCAAGCTAACTTTCACTAATCTCAGGCAAAACTTACTAACTTTTGCATGATTCTAAGCTTTAGTAGACACACAAGAACCAGAAAGCCCATGAGGTCAGCCAGTCAGTGAAAATATTAGGCTTACTGATTCCCTCCTGGAGCTTCCTGAGCTTCAATAAAAGAAATCTGTCAAATTAGAAAAATCTTACCAAAAACGAAAATGAACTAAATTACAAAGTCCCAAAAGGAAAGCTAAGGTTCAGATGTTTCACATACCCATAAAGAAACACCTAAATGATAAGACCTGATGTTATCAACAATAGTGAAACATTCAGAGACATCTTTCACAAGTGTACTCACATGCTTCCAAGGGATCCCTTCCCTCTGGTATTCCTCTTGCTCTTGCTTTAACACCAGCTGAATGAATAGCTGCTGCAGTTTCTCATTGCAGTAATTGATGCAGAACTGTTCAAAGCTACATTAAGATTAGATTAGATTAGATTTAAACAAATACAACACAAGCATCAAGAGGTTTAAGCATTTTTTCCTCATTTACCTGTTGTTGTCAAAGATTTCAAAGCCATAGATATCCAAGACACCAATAACGGTGTTTTTCCCATGGATTGTGGTATCGTAGTTCTTGACCTCAATAATGTCATTGATGCGAGTGACAATCCAACAAAAAAGGCGCTCATATATTGCCTGTGAAAAAAATTATACCATAAGTTCTTGTCAATTTGTGACTGAGTCCTCAGTTTAGATTTGTGATGTCTTAGATTCCTGTCTACATTCTTCTTACTATTTTTCCATTGGATATGCAGAGAAATTAGGAATATGTATTTGCTGTTTGAAAAAACTACAAAATGTGCTGGATGCTGTGGCTCAAGTTTATTATCCTAGCAACTTTGGAGGTAGAGATCTGGGACTGAGGTCATTCCATGCATAAAAACTTATGAGATTTCATCTCAACCGACGTCTAGTCATGGCGGCACTCACCTGTTATCTTAACTATGAGAGGAAACATGATGGTTAAGTGCTGTGGCATATGCTTGTTATCCCTAGAAACGTGGGGAAGCACAAGTAGGACGACTGAAATCCAGACAAACATTGTCAAGATTAGACCCTATCTCAAAAATAACCAATGCAAAAGAGGGTGGAGATGTGGCTCAAGTCATAGAGGACCTGCCTAGAAAGTCTGAAGTCACGAGTTCCACCCCCATCCCCAACGTAAACTATGTGTGTGCGCCAAAGAACAGTAAGCAGTTTGGAATTTTGTTATTGCTATTAGTGTCAGTCGTGGGGCTTGAAGTTTGGAATTTTGAAAGATGATTGATCACTGTATGTATTCCAACAACATTCCCCTGGCATGTTTCTATACCTTACTGTATCAATAATATGATATTCCATATTTAAGTCACTTCGTTTTACCAACTATAACAAAGTTGGTAAGTTATGAATTAATATATATGATCTACTAAAACTATGAAATCTAAAAAAATAAATATTCATTTATAATCTTAAATAAGCATCTGAGACAAAAGGCACACCACACAGCATACACTCATATCCTGATACATCAGTTTCTCATCTTTAAAAAATCCACCCTGGCCTCTCCTTCAAATGTTCCTCATTACCTAAACAAAGGGTCTCCAGTCTTCATCTATCCCAACCCACACATTACACTGTTGTCTTATTACTCCATTAACATGGCTCATTTACTTGAACCTGGATGTCTAAGCTTCTCCACATCACTCAAACTAATTTTCCACTCTATTACTAAAACAGTTCTCCTCTCTGGGATTTGTAATGTCATTTAATTCTCCTGTTTGACCTTTGGTAGCATCAGGTAGAGGTTTTCACACCTGATCTCTAAAATGTGAGGTCTTTTCTAATCCCCTTCATTCTGTAACACTCTAAGTTTTGCAATCAGTAATAGATAATACTAATATAACAGGACTCCCAAGAGAGTTTCTCAGCTATAGACTTGACAAGATATATATCACCTGGCAATGATATCTTACACCCATCTCAATTCATGTCCTGGTAGGATCTTAATCTTCTCACCTCCCCAGAACTTTTCCTACCTTACTAGGTATAGTTTATTGAAGATACAGCATTAAGTGAATAGTTTCAGTCTCCAAAAAACCTAGGTAGTACAGTGAAGAGAAAAATCACACACATAATCTCTCTCTGTCTGTTCTATTCCCCCTGCCCATGAACTATAGGATAGGCATGTGACCTCTGAAGGAATTTAAACAATTTAGTGTTCAAGGAGGCCAGGGAAAGCTTTTAGAAAGTGATGTTTGGCCTGAGGTCACTGGGTTGAGTAAGAAGCAGTCAAGGGAAGAGGAGGAGAAGCAAGCAATTCAATAGAGGAAATGGCATATGCAGCAGCCCTGTGGATAGAAAGAGAAAGGGATAAAGAACTTGTGAGTCCCCAGGAAAGATAAATGTATTAGAATGAACAAAGGTGGCTGAAAATAGTATGAAGTGAAACAGGAGAGATGGGTTGGAGCAAACCATGCTAAGGTAATATCCTTAATTCTCCCATGCTCACAGTTGTTCTCATTTGCTGTTCTTGCAATGATGATCACATATGGGGAATCACTGTGATGGCCAGAAAGTCTCACCATTTCTTTTATTTTTGGTGGTACTGAGGACTGAACTCAGGCCCTTTATTACCAGGCAAGTACTCTACCACCTGAGCCATGCTCAATCCTTTTTAAATCTTTTTCAGACAGGATCTCATACTTTTGCCTGGAATTGGCCTTAGACCTTCATTCTTCTGTCTTCCCAGTAGCTGTGATTACAGGAAAGTGCCATCACAGCTAGCTTGTTTTTGAGTGCACTACCACACCCAGCTCACCACGGTGACAGCCTTAGCTTGCTGTCAACTGAATATATCCTCACAAGAATTCCTTCATGCAGCTGAGATAAACAAGGGCCACACAAGATGCAAATTCAGTCTCACCTTAGCAAAGGCATCTCTGCCGTAGCTGGCTTCTTGCTCCGTGTGCTGCTTGTCGATGATGTCACGGCCTGTAGCCACAGTCCGGTAAAGAAGGGCTTTCTCAACCATGTCTGTTTTAGTAGATAGCAATTCTGCTATTATAGATACAACCTTGCCATTCTCAATAAGGGGCGTGTCACCATCTACCATAAATTTTAAATTTCCCTGTATCAAATAGGAAAAAATAACATACATCATTTCCAAGGAGGTTCTGAAATATTATGTCAGAGTTATATCTATCAATTAAGATAGAATTCAAATGACTTTATACCTATCTTCCTAGTGTATGTACATACTTTCCTATCTTGCACCTATCTTCCCTGTATGTACATACATGAAAACCTGGCACTTCAACTAGTCTTTTCTTTTTCTTCAGGCAAAACCTTCTCATTTCAATGTACATTTCTGATAAAGGTTCTATATTTTAAATGCCATCAAACCAATGAATTTTTTGCCCTGCAGGTCTATATTGCTAGCTCCATGATGAGCTGAGTGCCTCTGAGGCCTCCATGCTACCTTGTGGGGCTTCTTTCTCAGTCTATGCGTCTAAATCCAGTTCTAATCATCTACAATTCGACATGAAATGCCATCAGAAATGTATGCAATTAATAATAATATCATTGCTGAGTTCTCTCCTTGAAATTAACCAGTTCAAGGTTTGATGATATCATAAAATAAAATGGTGCAGAGAACCACAGACTAAGTTCTTTAAAACATGAGCAAAATTTTTCCTAAAAAATTCCTTTTAAGATCTGCAACAAAGAAGTAGAACCTCCTGAGAGAGAACCTGTCTGCACAGGGAGACAATCTATCCTAGCGGTATTCATGCTCACCAAGTGAAGAATAGCAGCCAGAATTTTATACACAGTTTGAATCTCTTCAGGTTTGAAGCCAATTACTTTCATGGCATCAGCTACTACTTTGAACTCTGCAGCATCATTGATAGAAGACTAGAAATAAAAATGAAAAACTTGAGTCAAATGGATTTCACATGAACATTACAATGCAACAATTATGAAACTCCAAGGTATTGATGCTTTTGTAGTAAATCCTTTAAGATATTATGAACATTCAGTATTTTAATTGTACATGGGGAAAAAACTAACTAGCCCTTCAGGATTAGAGGCAAGGCTCAGGTTGTAGAGCACCAACCAAAGAACAAAATAATCAGATACCAAGTTTGAGACCAAAAAAAAAAAAAAAAAAGAGAGAGAGAGAAAAAAAATTGTAGATGGTTCCTATACATTAAGACTAATTAAACTATATAACACAATACAGTTAAAATACTTGCATGGGAAGATGATTGTGTTTCAATGCAAGAAAAGCAAATGTTATTAGAATTTATTGTATGATTTCATTTACAAGTGTATACATAAGTTGCTAAGTATGGTACTACATGCCTATAACCCCATTACTTGGAAGGGAGAGAGAGGAGTAGCACAAGTTTGAGGCCAACTTGGGCTATAAATATATCCTTGTCTCAAAAAAAGTGTGTGTGTGTATACACAAACTATTATTATTTCTGGATGGTAAGATTTTCTTTTAGCTCAACTTAAGTTTAGGATTGACTATGATTCTTTGTTTCTGTTAGAGATAAAGTTTTTTAAAAAAGATAAATATGTTAGAAACAATAGCAAGAAAGAAAAGAGATATTTGTGTCCCTATCTTGGGGTTCATTTCGCTTAACATCATCTTATCTGGTCATACGTACATAGCTTTTGACCTTTTCTACTTGTCCCAGGCATATACTAGTTATTGCAAATAAGGGAAACCATGGGACCTATCTTTGGGCTTGGCTTACTTCACTTAATATAATTTTTTCCAAGTCTTTCCATTTCCTAACAAATGGGCCAATGTCATTCTTTCTGATGGAGGCAAAGAATTCGTGTGTGTGTGTGTGTGTGTGTGTACATACCATATTTTCTTGATCCATTCATCTACTGAGGGGCATTGGGTTGGTTCCATATCTTAGCTATGGTAAATAATGCTGCGATAAACATAGTTGTGCTGGTAGCCTTAGTATGGCCTTGTTTGTGAGCGTTTGGGCAAATACCCAAAAGTGGGATTGTTGGGTCATAGGGGAGCTCTGTGTGGAGTCTTTTGAGGAACCACCATACTTCTTTCCAAAGTAGTTGAACAGTTTACACTCCCACCAACAATGCAGTAAGCCATATCCCCTCCAGCATCTGTTATTAGATTTCTTGATTATAGCCATTCTAACTAGGTGGAATCTCAATGTTCTTATTTGCATTTCTTTAATGGCTAGAGAAGTTGAGCATTTCTTCATGGGTCTATTGGCCATTCTTATTTCCACTTCAGTGAAATTTCTCTTTAAGTCTTTAGCCCACTTTTTTATCGGGCAGTAGTTTCTTTGAGGATTTGTTGTTGGGGGATTTAATTTTTTGAGTTCCAGTCCTCCCCTACGGTTATTAACCCCTGTTTTCACTGCATTTGATGTCGGTGTCCTGCATCTTGTATATACACTTCTCAAATTCGGGGAGGGGAAGGGAAAAAACAAAATGCTGACCCATTGTAACAATGAGATGTACAAAACACTATGTTGAAAATGAACTTCACATCTTTGGGGGAAGTGAGGGTAGTTGTGGAGGTGGGAGGGAAGGGATGGTAGGGGAAAAGCAAAGGAGGAGGCAACAATGCTTGATAGGAAATGTACTCATTACCTTGCTCAGGTAACTGTAACTCCTCTGCACAGTATTTTTACAATAAAAAATGTACCAAAAAAAAAAAAAGGATGAATCAGAATGGAAAACTTCAACAAAAAGGGAACCTAGGCTGAATTTGTTAGAAAAAAGGCTAAATGTTTATATTTAATTTATGTGAGGATTCTATATGACCTGGCCAAAAGTAATTTGGCAACAAAAGAAGCTCATTGAAAAAGGACATTCTCAGGCAATGGCTTCTAAGTGTTGTTTCCCCAGTCTCTACATCTTTAAGTATCCCTGGAAATGCTCAGGAAGTTGGAATGCTGCCCTCTATTGTTTTGTTTTCAATTTATTTTCAGCCAAATATTTCTGCACTTAAATTACTGTAAAAGGCTAGTATATCTCAAATGCCAAATAAAATACATCACTTACAAAACCCACGTATCACTGATTTTTATGCCTAGCAATAAAAATATTGTGAAGCCAGTAATGAAAGTGTAATTGGCTAAATGAATAATTTTTTAAAAATTAAGAAATCTACATCTTAGATGCTAGATTCCTTGTTTCTTTCATTTTTCAACCAAAAACAGCAATACCTTTTTTCTTTTTTCTTTGCCAGTCATAGGGCTTGAACTCCGGGCTTGGGCTCTGCCCTTGAGCACTATCACTTGAGCCACAGTGCCATTTCCATTTTTTTTTTTGTTTTTTTCTGAGTATTTTATTGGAGATAACAGTCTCACGAATTGTCCTGCCCTGCTGGCTTCAAACCTTGATCTTCAGATCTCAACCCTTAGTAGCTAGGATTACAGGAGTGAGACACTAGTGCTTGGCTAGCAATGCATTTTTATCATAAAAAAGTTAAGAAATATAGATAAGCCAAATACAAATATTCACAGTCTCACTCTCCTGAATAAACAATTAAAATGTCCTCTACATCCTTTATCTCTTGTTCTATGAATTTATATGCTTTCTCTCCCACAACATAGGATCAAAGTAATATAATTATTACTTTATTACCTACCACCAACAAACTGCTTCATTATTAGAATTAGTTGTAAAATGATTAGCAAAAAATTAATTGGAAACAAAAGGGCAAAAATGTGCCTGCATAAGTAAATACAAGTATTCAAGGGAAATGGATAATTTGGAAAGCTAAATACATAGATATGTTCCAAGGATCACACAACTATTTTCAGGATAGATACATCCACATCAATACTGGGGAAAAAATAGTGAATGGAGAATCAAAATGCTTTTTAATTTTGCATTGTCTTACCAACTTGCCTTTGGCAACAATCATATAAAATCTTAGGAGGCAGATTTCCTAGTCCTGATAATATTTTTATAGTGTTAAAATAAATGGAATTAAAGGAAAAAGTCAAAGAAAACAATAAACATAGGAACATAACTTTATAGATGGTAACAAAATATAGTAATTGATTAGCAAGTAAAGTGGTCAATTCACTGATGTTCTGAATTCTCTGTGTTCCTGAGAATTTTTAAAAGTAGTGATTTTTTCCCCTCTAAGGGCAGCAGACTTGGCCAGATAGTTAATGTCCCTTCTGAATCTCTGCTTCTATGCCTAAGCAATCTCCGAGATACAAATCTTCACCTTTAGTTGAGCTCCAGCATGAATATAGTTGTAGGATGAAAGGGATTTCTGGAGATGTAGAGAACGCAGGGTCTGCTCTGAAGCCCCCTGGAGCAGCTGAAAAATATTTAATTAAAAATAAATGGGCAAAATACATACAAAACCAAAAAAATCAAGTATTAGAAGTCAGTAATAACCTAACTTTTATTCATTTTCTGGGTTTTATTCACTTAATTTGTCCCATTTCATGTTTTAAAGAATCATGTATTGTTTTGATTTTTGGATTTTTTTCATTGTTGTTTTTAATCTGAAGATAAATGACAATATTATGTTATGCCACATGTAAACTGTCCTGAGGAAAATTACTTAAAATGTGTCAATGTATATAGAACTAGAATAGTTCTTGCTTTGAATATGGCAGCTGTAAGATAGGATCCCTTGCCCTGAGGTAGTCACTTGCTCATAACAGTGTCATTATAGACAGGGTATAGCTCTGCTTAGAATTTAGAAAAAGTCAGAATTTCCAGGGAAGTAAAAGGCACCAGCAGACAGTGATAGGTCGAGTCACATGTGCTGAAATAGCTTTCCCATCAAGTGTATTCTTCAGGCAACTGAGAATGTTACAACTCCAATGTTGGCTGAAAATACATAACAATATCTTCATCCAAGTAGAAAAATCCTGGCAAAAGCTTTGAATTCTCAAAATAAACAACTTTTTTACATTTGATAGAAAAATAGTTGACCCAAACTCAATCAACCTATCTACCTTTCTTCCTTTTTTTTTTTCTTGTTGTTGTTGTTGTTGGTACTAGGGTTTAAACTTGGCCTTGTGCTTGCCTGGCTTACTCATTTAGCTGTCATGCTACCACTTGAACCACACCTCCAACCTAATTTTTGTTGGCTAATTTGGAGATTAAGTTGAATTTTTCTGGTTGGGCTGGCTTTGAACTTTGATCTCCAGATCTGAGCTTCCTAAGTGGCTAGGATTATAGGCATGAGCCACCAGTGTGCAACTTGTCACTGTTTTCAATTGTATTGTCACTGTTAGTCACCTTCAGAGATAGTTTATACGTGGAAATGGTCTTCAATTTATAATTTTACTTCTTAAAAAGCCAATATAATATCATTTAATTTGACTGCCCAATTTATTTATTATCCTTAGTTTATATTACTTTGGGCTTTAAAATTATAATAATATACCATACTTGTTCTCTGAGGGCAGACTTTCCAAAAGGAGGGATACTTTAAAGATTTTTATGATATTTAAAAGATTATTATTTTTTTAGATAGGATATCAGTACATAGCCAAGGCTGGCCTGGAACTTGCTATGTAGCCCAGGCTGGCCTCCAACTAGCCTCCTAAATACTGGGATTATGCCTAGCACTAAAGCAAAGGTCTTTGTTTTAAGAATCTTAATAGCATTCCCAAGATGTATTCATTTTTCCCCCTTAAGCTCTGATGTGATGTAGAAGACTATTCTTCCTTGAATTCATAAATCCTGGGTTTCTTGCCAAGTAACTCTGTTGTTGTATAGTATTTAAGAACAAAGTAAACTGAATTTATAAGCTCATTCTTGAAACTCCCAAATATAGGAACAATAGCTTCAATTCAAAAGAAAAGAAAATTAATTTAACACATTTAGAATGTACCATATCAAAAGCTTTCCTGATCCCTAAACCATTACACATGTTGCAAAGGTATATGGGTGTTTGCCTGGCTCTCCCACCTGCCAGTTCTCATCAGAGCTGTTAAACCTATCTTTTCAGAAGGAGGTGGGGTAGAATTGTGTGTGTATATATATGCGTATGGTGTGTATGTATGCAAGTAATAAATTGTGAGGACAATGGACACAAAAGAGGCATAAGATAGGCAAGAGCAATATAGAGATATTCATTTTCTACACAGATGAATAAATGATCAGTTCTCATGTGTAACAGAGGACTACTAACCTGATAGAAAGAATGAAAGCTTCTTTCTCCAGGCTGTTGAACAATCACTCGAGACTAAGAAAAAAACACATTGAAATGGTTAACCTGAAAATGCAGCCATAAAATCAAACTTGGTGTCTATGGTGGATTTAAGCGTCCTAAAGACCCTTGTAGATAAAAATATGCCCAAGACTAGGTTTCCCTAGTAATTCTTTTTAGTGCCTAATGGAGAGGTCCCTAAGCTTTCTGAAGAATAAATATGAATATATAATATGCTATTTAACTTGGAGCCTAAAGATGGTGCTTGGTAAGGGACAGGGATTTGTGTGGAGAGAATAGAAAGGAATGCTAGGGAGGAACATTCTCAACATTCCCTTCTCCAGGATCAGCTGGCATTTCAAAGAGTAATGCCTTATATCCTGTAATAAAATCAGCTTAGCAAGATCAGTCCCTAGAGACTGCTGCCTTAGATGGTTCCAAAAAGATTGCTATTAGGAAAAGGCTCCAAATATGTTTCATTCAAAGGAATCCTTTTGATTAACTATGTACATACAGTGAAGCCATGAAAAAGAAGCTGGTAATACTTGGCATTTCCTGTAATTTTTTAACTGATTCAGATAAAACACTTATTTCCTTAATTGTCTGACCTCAATATAACAAAAATAGAGATTATACTACCATAAAAATTCACTATGGAATAACTGGAATAGGAAACCTTTTACTGGGAAGGCATGTGAGCTGAGAGCATAGTTCAGCTGGAGATGGCTTTGTGAACCATAGCTGAACCATGAAACTTGGGAGAAGTAATGTCATATGCTTTCTGCAATCAGGCCTAGTGTTAATCAAGGTTAGGACACAGCCTCTCAAATTGTCCTAGTAGGAATCTTTTCATTGGAATCGTCTAGAAATGTGGCCTAGCATTAACCTAAGCAGATAAAGATGTATTTACTAGTGAGGTGCCAAAGGCTCACATCTGTAATCCTTTCTATGTAGGAGGCTGAGATTTAAGAATCAAGATTTAGAACCAGCCTAGGCAGAGAAATCTGTGAGACTCAATTAAACAGCAAAAAGCTGAAAGTGGAAGTATGTCTCAAGTGATAGAATTCCAGCCATGGGTAAAAAAGCATGAGACCTTGGGTTCAAGCCCAGTAGCAAACACAAACTCAGTCAGACAGACAGACAGACTCTGTCTCTCTCTCTCTCTTCATTGACCAACTACAGAATGCTTTATAATTAGGATACTAGCTCACAAAATACATATATAATATTGTAAAAAAGTGAACAAATAGAAATTAGAAAAAAGAAAGTTAAAATTAAAGTTAAAATGGAATATGGTAATATATATAAGGTCTGAAGAGTTCTAGATTGTTTATTAGTTTAAGTTGGCTCACACACCCTTGCCCCCAACTCCTCAATCTGCATCTACAGAGTTCAAAATATCTTCCAACCAGATACAGTAAGTGCTTATAAGAAAGGATAGAGGGAGGAAGAAACAGGAGAGAATATCTTACCACAGGAAGCAAATTTCAGTAGAAAGAATGGGATTAAACACCATTTCAAAGCAATAAATGAAATTCAATAAATATAACCAATTATTTTAAATTTCTTTTGGTGGTTTTAGGGCTTGAATTCAAAACCCTGTGATTGCTAAGCAAGTGCTCTACCACTTGAACCATATCCCCAGCCTTTTTGCTTTGGTTTTTATTAGATAGAGTCTCATGTTTATGCCAAGGCTGGTCAGGACCACAATCTGCTTATATATGCTTCCTCTGGAGCTGGGATGACAGGAATGTGCCACTACTCCCAGCTTCTATTGGTTGAGATGGGTGTCTCACCAATTTTTTTGTCTAGTCTGATTCTCCTGATCTCTACCTCCAAAATATCTAGGATTACAGGTGTGAGAACTATATCTGGCTCAAGTCTTTTAAACATTACCCTCAGAAATTAAGCACATCTTACCTTCTCCAATAAGTAGTTATTGATATGTCCACCAATAGGGTCACCCTTAAAATCAAAGTTGATATCCATGTATTTTCCAAACCTGCTTGAGTTATCATTACGATTGGTTTTGGCATTTCCAAAAGCTTCTAGCACACAGTTGGATTTGAGCAACATATTCTTCACTCTTTAACACAGATAAATATAAATCATTATAAAAAGTTAGGAGAGTATTTTTCTCCTTCAAAAAAAGCTGTACCACTTAAGAAAGTCAAGTTGCCTTGTAGCAATGTATTTTAAATCTTGTTCATTTATGACTAACATATTTAGTAAGCAAACACCATGTGCTAGGCACTGTCCTTAAATGGGGGTCCAACACAGCACAGACTCATCTGGGAGCCCAGCATGGTGCAGCATGAGATCCTTTTAGAAATGAACATGACCTGGAATTCCCAACACAGAACTTACTACCAGGGAGCTCTGGTGTTATATGGAGGGGAGGACATTGTTGTGGTGCCTTTTAGAGCACCACTTCTCTCGCAGCACCATCTTAAATCATGGAATCCTTGCTTGACAGCTTGAACAATAAGGCCTGCCAGTTCTCCTGAGCATACTTAAGGCAGTGGTTATAAACTAAAATGAGGCTATTTTCAGAGCATTTTTTAAAAAGTATTTTTTTCTATTAAAAAACAAATCTGGAGATAGTGATATAAATAAAATAAAATAAAAATAGGGAAAATATATACTATGAGAATCAAGACAGTTTAATAATGGAAAATTTCCAAGTGCCAATCAGTATAGGCCAAGCTAGTAGAGAAAGTGAAGCTCCAGTTAAGAGTCTCTCCTAATGGACAATGCACTTACCTTTCAACCTCTGCTCTCTGGCTGGGGTTGGTGATGGCCGCAATATACTGCATAATGTACTTACTGGCTTCTGTTTTACCAGCTCCACTTTCCCCTGAAGAGAAGAATTGTGCATAACTTATAATTTAAACTTACTTCTATTAGACTAATTTGAAATTCTGATGAAAGTTATTAAAAATCCCTTGTATTGCATTGCTTGATTTCTGTCCTGTAATTTTTGTCCTGTTGGTTCTGATATGAACACATTGAAAAAGAAAAGTGTGAAAGAAGTAAAATAATAAGCAGACTTGGTATAGAACCTGCATAGCAAACAAGAAAGTTCAAACCTTACTGCTGCAAAAAGAAAAAAAAAAGGGAGAGAAGAAGAGAAAGGGAGAATAAACTAGTTTGATAGAAACTCTAATGAAAAGATATCCCCTATATACTGCTAAATGGAAAAACAGCTATGTAATAACAGGTATAATTCAGTGATTTTATATTTATACTTAGATGCACATATATTGTGATATGTACTTGAATATATAGAAGAAATGTATAAAAAGATAAATATTAAACAGCTGTCTTCCTGGAATGTTGTAAGGAGGAGACATTGCAGAGGAAAGGACTTTTTGCTTTTAGACTATACACTTGCATAACTTATTTTTCACCTTCTACAACCAGGCAATAGTAGTTTTGTAATCTGTTTTAATACAATGTACTCTGGGGGGTATTGTTCTTTAACAGTAAGTTAGTTAACTTTCTGGCCTTTAATATTCTTCAAGTAGAAAAATAATTATTCTATAAGCCACTCAAAAGTTGTTTTGATAACCAAAATAAACTAATCATAAAAGCATGTTTTTTGGGTTGGTCCTGGGGCTCTACCACTTGAGCTGTGCCACTTCTGGCTTTTTCTGAATAGTTTACTGGAGATAAGAGTCTTGCAGCTCCCTGGTGGTCTAGTGGTTAGGATTCGGTGGTCTTACCATCGCAGCCTGGGTTTGATTCCGGATCAGGGAAGCCTTTCTTCTTGGGGCTGGGAAGGTGGCTCAGTGGTAGAATGCTTGCCTTGCATGCATGAGGCCCTGGGTTCAATTCTTTAGCACCACATAAGCAGAAAAAGCCAGAAGTGGTGCTGTGGCTCAAGTGGTAGAGCGCTAGCCTTCAGCGCCCAGGCCCAGAGTTCAGGCCCCATGATCAGAAAAAAAAGAAAAAGAGTCTTGCAGACTTTCCTGCCTGGGCTGGTTTTGATAGGATCCTCAGATCTCAGCCTCCTGTATAGCTAGGATTACAGGCATAAGCCACCAGCACCTAGCTCTTAAAATCACTTTTTTTAAAGCATAAACCCATATTACAAATTCAAGTATTATTAGTACCAAAAGAAATTTCCACATTCAAGAGAGGCCAGCTTGGACCAGTGGAAGATACTTTGCTTGTCCTCTTCACAACTGAGAATTCTAACAACTTAGCTTTACATGAGTAGCTTGGCTCCAGTTTTATACACAAAGGGCTGTAAGTCATCTGCTCATCACTGGACCTTAAACCTCAGACCCTGAGCTCAAAAGCCTATTTCTGGCTCCAATGCTTCCGCATTTGCTTCAGCACCAACCCCCAAGAACTAAGCTAACATAGTTCATTCTTCACATCCAGGATCTGAGTGTTTCATCTTCCTGGTTTCATTCTGTTATTGTGGAAAGACTGTTGTTTTACCTGGTACTTGTAGTGTTTGAAATAGATAGGAACATATTCCATGCTAATTTAGTTTACAGATTGACCAGAAGGCATCCAAGTATATTTTTGAATGAGATGAAGTCTCATTAAGAGCTCCAGGATGGCTCTGGGATTCAATCTTCCTTCTTTTGCTTCCAGAAACAAGACTAGAGGATGATCCAGAAATTTTAAGAATAATTTGGTGTTTCACGTTCATTTTTTTGTCCCTAAAAATTGGTAGGTTTGGTAGGTTTTTAACTTTAAAAAATAATCAATCAGCCGGGCGCTGGTGGCTCACGCCTGTAATCCTAGCTACTCAGGAGGCTGAGATCTGAGGATCGCGGTTCAAAGCCAGCCCGGGCAGGAGAGGCCCTGAGACTCTTATCTCCAATAAACCACCAGAAAACTGGAAGTGGCGCTGTAGCTCAAGTGGTAGAGCGCTCGCCTTGAGCTGAAGAGCTGAGGGACAGCGCCCAGGCCCAGAGTTCAAGTCCCATGACCGACAAAAAAAAAAAAAAATCAATCATGTATATCCTAAAGTAAAAAAATAAGTAAATGTTGACCTTGGACATACCAAGGACCCCCTCCAAATACCTGATATCATAATGCAGGTGTCTTTTGATCGCCTCTTCATAGCCTTGTAAGCAGCATCAGCAATAGCAAAAAGATGTGGAGGTCTCTCATACAGCTCACGACCTTTATACTGCTCAATTGTATCCCTCCCGTAGATGTTCAACAACTTGTAAGGATTCACAGAGACAACAACTTCTCCGATGAATGTATAGATACGTCCTTTTTCAAATCTGTACAGAGGCAAAAGAAAACAAAAACATAGCCTCGGTTATAGAAACACTGTCTTTTTTCTATGAGTCTTATTACCAAGAAAATTCAAATATCTAAGAAACAATTCCTAAACTGACATTTCCTGAGTTTACTTTTAGAGATGATGTTTCAGACTGTGCCCTTCAGATGGCATTTGCAAAAAAGACCAGTTGAGGTTAGAAATCAGGGAAGAAAAAAAGTAACTTTCTGGAGACTGGGAATTTCCTGTCTCCAAAATACAGAAAGGAAAGAAAAGGGGAAGGGGAAATAGTCAAAGAAAACCTCAGAGCTCTAGGAGGAAAGAAAATGAAGTCAGGTCTTAAAATTCACCTAGCCAGATTTTCAATTATTAAGAGGCTTGCTCGCAGACATTTATTTCTTCCCTGTCTTTAAATTTCACTAGAATGTCAGTAAATGAAAAAAAAATACAGTAAAACCCATAACAGAAGAAACAGCAGAGGAGACACTTATGGCACAAATCAATTTTTTTTTTAAGTGACTTCCTAAAATCCCATAGTGTAGATATATCATGATGTATTCAGTGGCCCTCCTTCTGCCTGTTACTATGAATGATACTGCACAAAATGCTCTAGATGGTCTTTCAAATCAATACTTTTATTTCTGTGAGAAAAATTCTCAGGAATAGTATACCTCCAGAATGGTATACTTGCTTGCAAGGTATACATAATCCAAAGTATAAAAGCATATATAATCTGACCCTATCTTGCCCCATAAACAAAAGTTAAAAAGGTACCTGACATATGTATTTGTGAATGTATCTAGATAGACATATTTAATAAATGAGTACATGCTAACCATGGAAGAATAAATGTTACATTTTATGTATCCTTGTACATAAACAGTGGGGTAATATGAATGAATGGAGGAAAAGATGCAAGCAGGTGGGAAGAGGTCATAAGAGCAAAGAAAAAAAAAAGAGTAAAAGCGGGGCTGGGAAGGTGGCTCAGTGGTAGAGCGCTTGCCTTGCATACCAGAGGCCCTGGGTTTGATTCCTCAGCACCACATAAGCAAAAAGAAAAAAAAAAAAAGCTGGAAGTGGCGCTGTGGCTCAAGTGGTAGAGTGCTAGCCTTGAGCTGAAGAGCTGAGAGACAGCGCCCAGGCCCAGAGTTCAGGCCCCACGACCAGACCCCCCCCCCAAAAAAAGAGTAAAAGCCCCACGGTTGGAATTGTCTGTATAGATACGTAAATCTGCAAAGAAAAAATTTAAACATGAAACATAGCTGGGCATCTCTGGCTGATGTCTATAATCCTAGCTACTTAGGAGGTTGAGAAATGGAGGATTGAAGTTTAAAGAAAAGGTCCATGAAACTAGGTAACTTGAGGGGATGGTGGGGTTGTGAGAAATGGGGAAGAATGATGGGAGGAGTGACGTCGATCAAGATGTATTGAACTACAAACTGACATGCTGAATTGAAACCTCTTTGTACAAAGACTGTATATGTATATACATAATCACATATATATGCACAATTATATGTATTCACAAATATATATGTATATATGTCAGGTGACTATGAAGCCCTGAGTTCAAATGGCACCAGACAAAAACCTGAGAAAAACCCATACACATTTGCTTTTTAACCACAAACTATGCTTATAAACATATGTGAATCAGAGCTTGACTGTACACAAGTGGTAGCTACTCACACATTCCACTTGCTGAAGAGGAGCAGGTAGACAGATAATCATCCCTTAGTGTCTATGGGAGCCTGGATCAAGGACCTGCCTATCCCATCCATAAATATCAAAACTTGAAGATACTCAAATCCCTTACATAAATATTCATGGTATTTGCATAGAACCTAAAGTATATTCCTATATAGTCTAAATCATTTCCAGGTTACTTTAGTAGTAATACAAAGTAAATCCTATGCAAGTAGTTGTTATACTGTATTGTTTAGGGGATGATGGCGTGAAAAGCTTCTATATATGTTCAATACAGATGCAATTCTTCCCTAAACATTTTCAATGCAGTTGGTTGAATCAGAGGGTACTGAATTCATAGAAACACTTGCTGAATAAACTGAGAATTCCAATAGGCAAAATACTGGTCCTGAGACGGCCTATCTCTTAGCAATCTTCCTGTAAAGCCAATGACAGGAAAAATGAGCAAGCATTTGGAACCAAAAGGCAAGATACTATATTTTTTCCCTTTTCTTTTCTTTCTTTTTGTTGGTCATGGGGCTTGAAACTCAGGGCCTAGGCACTGTCCCTGAGCCTTTTTGTGCTCAAGGCTAGTGCTCTACCACTTTGAGTCACAGTGCCACTTCTGGTTTTCTGGTGGTTAACTGGAGATAAGAGTCTCATGGAGTTTCCTGTCAGGACTAGCTTTATAGGCATGAACCACTGGCACTTGTTTTTTGTTTTGTTTTAATCAGGGCTTTAATTCACTGTCTGTGCACTGTTCCAAAATTTTTTTGTTCAAGATTAGCTCTTTATTACTTGAGCCCCAGTTCCACATTTGGCATTTTGCTGGTTAACTGGAGATAAGAGTCTCACAGACTTTCCAGCCCAGGCTGTCTTAGACTCTCCATCCTTAGATCTCAACCTTCTGAGTAGCTAGAGTTACATGCATGAGCCACTAGTGCCTAGCTGATTCTTAACTTCTTTTTTTTTTTGTTGGTCATGGGGCTTGGACTCTGGACCTGAGCCCTGTCCCTCAGCTCAAGGCAAGTACTCTACCACTTGAGGCACAGCATGACTTCTGGCTTTCTGGTGATTAATTAGAGATAAGAGTCTCACAGACTTTCTTGCCTGGGCTGGCTTTGAACCTTGATCCTCAGATCTCAGCCTCTGGAGTAGCTAGGATTAGAGGCATGAGCCACCGGTGCCTAGCTTGATCCTTAACTTTTTTTTGGGGGGGGGATCCGGTCGTGGGGCCTGAACTCTGGGCCTGAGCGCTGTTCCTCACCTCTTCAGCCCAAGGCTAGCGCTCTACCACTTGAGCCACAGCGCCACTTCCGGCTTTTTTCTTTTTTCTTATGTGGTGCTGAGTAATTGAACCCAGGGCCTCAGGCATGCAAGGCAAGTGCTCTATCACTGAGCCATCTTCCCAGCCCTCCTTAACTTCTTTTAAGCTAAGCATGGACAGCTATGATTAGGAATGGAAACAGATAGTTGAAGATAATGACAATGATAAATTTAAACCAAGATTTTTTTTATCATGTAGTTAGTATTTTTAAATAGATTTATTGGGCTGGGAAGGTGGCTCAATGGTAGAGTACTTGCCTCCCATGCATGAGGACCTTGGTTTGATTCCTCAGTACCACATAAGCAGAAAAAGCTGGAAATAGCACTGTGTCTCAAGTGGTAGAGCACTAGCCTTGAGCTGAAGAGCTGAGGGACAGTGCCCAGGCCCAGAGGTCAAGCCCCACCAAAAAAAAAGAAAGAAAGAACTTTCCTTTAGCTGGGCATGGGTGGCTCACAGCTATAATCCTAGCTACTCAGGAGGCTGAGATCTGAGGATTGCAGTTCAAAGCCAGCCTGAGCAGGAAAGACCATGAGACTCCTATCTCCAATAAACCACCAGAAAACCAGAAGTGGCACTGTAGCTCAAGTGGTAGAGCACTAGCCTTGAGCTAAAGAGTTGAGGGACAGCACCCAGGCCCAGAGTTCAAGGCCCACGACTGACAAAAAACACAAAACAAAAACAAAAACAAGATTTATTGACCACTTTGAGGTTTCTTGTGAGTTTTTCCATTGGTTTTCTTGTTTATCTTCTCTACTGCCAGAACTTTTATGTGGTAGCTAAAAACACTGACTTTGGTCCTTTATATTTGGGTGCCTTTTTGTACTTTACAAACTTGGTAGCAGTCAGAATTTGTGAATGTTTTTTTTTTTATTGTGAACATACTGTACAGAGGGGTTACAATTACACGGGCAAGATAATGAATACATTTCTTATCAAGCATTGCAGCCTCCTCCTTTGTTTACCCTTCACATCCCTTCCCAGCCTCCCCCGCCCCCCACCAAAGTTGTAAAGTTTGTTTTCGACATGACAACTTGTACTTCTCATTGTTGCAACAGGTCCACCTGTATCCTTAAATGACTTGTTTTATACTGACATCAAATATAGTGAAAGCAGGGGTTATACTGTGGGGGAGGGACATACAAAGCAACAAATAAATAAATGTGTTAGAAACAATCGCACGAAAGAAAAAAAACATTTAAATACATATCTAAGGGTTCATTTTCCTAACATCAACTTATCTAACCTTTTCTGCTTGACTCATACATATACTAGATATTACAAATAAGGGAAACCATGGGACCTATGTTTCTTTGGTCTTGCCTTACTTCACTTAATATAATTTTTTCCAAGCCTTTCCATTTCCTAACAAATGGGGCAATGTCATTCTTTCTGATGGAGGCATAGAATTCCATTGTGTTTATATACCACATTTTCTTGATCCATTCATCTACTGAGGAGCATCTGGGATGCTTCCATATCTTAGCTATGGTAAATAATGCTGCAATAAACATAGTTGTGCTGGTAGCTTTAGTGTGGTCTTGTTTGTAAACATTTGGGTAAATGCGCAAAAGTGGGATTGTTGGGTCATAGGGGAGCTCTATGTGGAGTCTTTTGAGGAACCTACATACTACTTTCCAAAGTGGTTAAACAAGTTTACACTCCCACCAACAATGAAGTAAGGTTCCCTTCTGTCCACATCCCCTCCACCATCTGTTGTTATTAGAGTTCTTGATTTTTGCCATTCTAACTGGGGTGAGGTGGTATCTCCATGTTGTTTTGATTGGCATTTCTTTTATGGCTAGGGAGGTTGAGCATTTCTTCATGTGTCTATTGGCCATCCTTCTTTCTTCTTCAGAGAAGTTTCTCTTTAAGTCTTTAGCCCACTTATTTATTGGGCAGTTGTTTCTTTGAGGATTTGTTGTTGGGGGATTTAATTTTTTGAGTTCCAAGTATATTTTAGATATGAGACCCTTGTCCGTTGTATGGCT